AGATGTGCTTGTTTCGCCAACGTAACAAGCATTACAGCCTGCACATACAAATTTGTAAACGACACGCGAACGGAGACCAACTGGGATGGGATCTTTAGCTGAAAACAAATTTTTAATTTTAAATGAGGAAAATACTCATTTAAAATTAAAAATTTTTTATTAAAGCATCTGAAAAGTTCACGTCACTGTAAACAATCAGCACAAAGAGACATTGTCAGTATAATGTAATGATGGAACATTCTTAGCCTTGGGATGTGTCAAGTTGGAAGTTGGAACTTGGAGATTACAATTGGTTGAGTAGTCAAAGCCCTTTTATAATTACTGTGTTTCTTATACCCGATTCACACGTGAAGTTAAATTTTAACAAAAAGTAACAAATTGTAACCGAGCGATCTCCCGAGTTATTCCTACCGAGATAAAAAGCATTCACACGTGTCTGTAAGGTAATGCCAAGGTCGTGTAAAATTTATTCAGTGTTTATTCAATGAATCATTTTTCCCCTACTGCGATATAGGTCTAGCCTAGGCCTAGTTGAGAACCCCTGTCACAGATGGATGGTTGAACTCACCATCACAGTAAACATTCGAAGCAATCAATGCCCTTAACAACTACTGTACTACTACTACTAAACTAGGCATAGCTTCCAACGTTTCTGTCGACTCTTGATAATACTAGTAATAGTACTAACACCATCCCGACGTTTGTTTTATGTATATCTTCTTCTTCTACCATTAATTAACATCAATAACAAGGGTAATTCATTCATCATTGAGAAAAACTAGGCCTCTATTTCTAGTGGATCAGAATCATCTGCAGAAGGAAGAAAATTCAAAGAACCCTGTGAAACACAGTAGATTGTTGTTGTGTTGAAATCCCTGCGCATGCACAGATCCATCCATGCTACATCTCGGAAGCTTTACCAGCCTCAGCGAGGCTGGTAAAGATTACCGAGACGTTCCGAGATTTTACAAGGATATTACACGGAGGTACTTTCACACGTGCCGTAAAATGTTACTTTTGGTTACATTTTGTTACATTTGGTAAGATTTTTGTACGTGTGAATCGGGTATAAGACTTTTAGGTCAAGGTAAACATTACTTACATTACCCACATTTTTTGCTAGGGAATATCTTACTAAACATTTTTTTTTTACAAAAAAAAAATTTAGTGTATGGAAACTTCATCACTGGCTGATCCTTTTGGTATTTTGGATAGAAATATGCTTGCAAGTAAATGCACAAAATGTTAAGAAAAATTTCACCAAGCTAAACCATTGGATTTTTAAAATCTAGGCTTAAATTTTGGAATATGTATTTTAAGGTGTGTTTTTGAAATATGAATTACCAAGATAAGGAATAAAAACTGCAAGTAAAAAATAATCCTTTAGTTTAGTGGACAAGGCAGAAGATCCCAAAGATTAGCTCTCAATCAATTCCCCAAACCTAAACAAACATGGCATGTTGTCTGACTTACCGTAAAACCTTAAGAGCTTAATCTTGAGAAGACCATCTCATATTGAAGCCCCACCTTTTTAGTTTGCAAAAGTAGCTTCGAAAAAGCTTGGACTACTTTTCAAGATAGTACACTACATACACTGTGCATGAATTTCAAATAACAAAATAAATTAAAAACACTCTTGGTTTATACAGTAGTTTAGTTGATTTAATTCCGGTTAATAAATTCCATGATACAGACTGATGCTACAGTGGCCGTATTTATTGTTTTATAATAGTAATTTCCAAAATTTAAAGCATTCATTTTGAAAAAGAAACCCCTCTTTACTTTGCAAAAGAAGCCCATCCAGAGGTCGCAAAAAAAGAAACCCATGGCTTCTACAGTATTCAAGGTTTTACAGTGTGTAAATACAAAAAAAATTTATTTAAAAAAAATTTTGTGTTTTAAATCAAGTGAACCATAGGACAAGATTAAATTGTTATTATTTTATAGGTTTGCAAGAAAAACAAACATGAAACTACTGTTTGCTTTTTAGAAACTGAATTTTCATGTGCTCTGGTTCTAGAGCCAAAAACATTTCAACTAGTTATTTAGTCTTCCCTTATAGTGCATGTAGGCTTACAGAACTGCAAATGTTACAGATTGAACTGGATAATGAATGAAGAGATGAGTTTAGAAATTACAAGTTGATTAATGCACGAGTGTAAATTGATAGCTGTGGTTATGCTTATCATTGCAATTTCTATTAAAATTCTTAAATTCCTTGTCTTGGCAACTGTACAGTGCATAAAAAACCAGATGATGCCTGTGCACGATTCACAATTTTTATGAATTAAAGGAGGAAACAAGATCGTCAAAGCATTCAAAAGAAAGGAAGGCACTCCTGGTGTAATTAGTACTACTATTTTAACTTCCTGGCTATACCATATTGCCAGTTACTGATTAGTATTCTGTTACTGATGGGTATGCCGCTGTTGATGAATATGCAAATTTGCTAATGAGTATGCAAAATTATTCAAGAAATAAGCTTTTTCATCAGTTAACATATTTTATTTTATTCATTCATTCTGGTAAATACAAATAATATAAAACATGACAAAAATTTAAAAAATCAGCAATTCACATACATAAGAATGAAGGTGAGCCAGGGAGCAGCAAGAACAAAACCAATGTCATCTTAGAGATGTGCTGCTCATACAGTATGCAAATCAGTAATACTAATAGCATAATGAATATACTATGATAATTTGTTAACGATTAGTTTTTGTGACTTGTAGGTATCTAATTAAACATTTTGATGGAATTATGTGATTGATGTGATGCCTTTATTAAAATTCAATTTTGATTCATTCTGATTGAATTTTTGCTCATTATTTTTTTTTTTTTCAATTTTAGCTGCAAAAATCAAGAGCAAATCATTGTCTTCTGAGGTGAGTTGTGTCCTGGTTGCCATAGCAATGAAGAAATATAGAATTGTAATCTACCTCTATAGATTCTATTCTATCGCGTTTAACTTTCACTTTTATTTTATTCGATATAAATAGCAAATAAGTTTTTTGATAGTGTCAAGAATAATACCTGGTACAGTATTAATTGATCATGATGTTTAGTCAAGTAAAGCAGATTACTGATGGTGTGTTTCTAGCAGTTATTTAATTCAATTCAATATTGGTTTAGCAACAACATATGTACAGTACAGTACTATGAAATCGATAATAACAACAACAATGACTCCACATTAGAGCGTGGCTCATACACCAGTGGCATATTCAGGGGTGGGGAAGGCACGCCCCACCGTTTAGAAAATAAATTTTTTTAATGGAGAATAAAGAAAATTATATTCAAATTTAAATCTAAGAGTATCATTTCCAGCCATATAGAGGTGGCCATAATCATAAATGTTCTTACCTCAGCCGAAACCATGGTGGGGCTGACGTGGTTTAGACCCTCTATCTGTGAAAGTCCCTCCCTGGGCCTCTCTATTTCAAATTCCTGGTTCTGCCAGGCCACTGTCCACATCTGCTTGGCCTCATAAAAGTGATGTTCTCTGGCACCCACATTAGATTTGTAGCAATAAATTGTATTGAATTTAAATAAGATTGAAAGAGAAAGTGGGAGTTAAAGTGAAAGAGAAAAAAATAATCAGTAGGCTATTGAAAATAGATTTCTGGAATAATATGATAGCCACCTTTTTTCTCCCTTTTTTATTCACTTAAGTATATACAATATATCATTAAGCAGTGCCTCACTGAAGCATTTTAAAATGTACCATTTATTGGAACTTTTACGGTAACACACCCTTCTTCCCCCCCCCCCCTTTTCTCTTATGAGGCCACTGCTAACTAAAATGTGGCTTGTGGAAGTGAAAATAGGATGGTGTGGTGCCATAAAATATAGGATTTAAGGGAAGGAGAAAATTGTAGGTTTGTTTAAATATTGACTGTAGAAAGAACGCTTGGTGCATATAAAATTGGGATGTGTGAAATGACAGATACATTTTCTAATGGCAGATGTTATATTATTACATTTTGACTATAAATGCATGATGGCAGTGTTGCAGCTCTGCTTCAGTCATCCATATCTGTACTAGAAGATAATGATATACACAAACAATTCTACCTATCCACACGTTATTGCGTACAAAACTGTGATAAACAGGTCAATTTGTCAATGATAAAGCATTAAGAAATAACAAAATGGAAGGAAAAATCGAATCTCCGAAGCATATATCAATGTTGATAGTTAATGGATTTCCTGTTTTCAAATTTTCTATGTACTTCACATTTGCCTATCAAACTGTAGAATTCTTTTCCTGGGATGCTATGCAATGAATTATCGGAAAATAAAAGGTCATTGTAAAATGTGCAAGGCCATGTGTATCCATGTTAATGCATTAAAATATGTTTCTTAATTAGTTGACCAAATGCATCTACTGCAGCTTGGTGGTATTATGATAATTGTCTTTCAATGCTAGAATTATGCGTAGAATTACTGTATGTTTATTGGCATGATTTTTGTAACATCTGGATTCCAAACACAACAACAAAATATAAATTAAATATACAAGATTTAATAGGAAATGAAGTCACTTCGATCCTAAGTATGGTGTACAGTACTTACAGCAGTGTGATTTCATTACTAATCTGATAGCGTTACATAATTTAAATAATATGTAATAAAATATTTAAATGAAATTATGGTAATGATGGTGTTTGTAATATCAAAAATTAGTATTTGATGCTATAAAAATATAATTATAATACATACCAATAATATGAAATGTTAAATTTAATGATACAATTTTTTTTCCAAATGGATAGATTTGCTATTATAACTCACACTGTTGGATGTTTTAAGTATTCCTTAAATGTGTTTCAGGGCTCAATTAGTACTACTAGCTTGATGTACTTTGGCTAGTAAAAACCAGTCCGGCTAGGCTATTTACTACAATACCTCTTGATGCTCGGCTTATAGATATCCTTAATACATGCATATAGACCTAAGAATGTATTAAAATAGTCCATGGGCTAGTAAAACTTTAGTAAATTAGCCCAGTGGGCTAGTTAACAGAGAAAGTTAGAGCAGCCTGTATTTTAAACAAATACTGTAAATATCTAAATCTTTTCTATTATCACTTGTCTATAGAGTGCAGGTATTTCTAGAGATGGCACTCAACGCGAGAAGAAGATTGGCCACAGACGGGTGGATGAGATGGGAGAAGTCACATACAAAAAGGTAGGTTGGATCTGGTGAGTTATCCACAGTTAAAATTGCCCATCTTTACAATCAAAGCAATCAAAGTTAACTCCGAGAAAAAAAATAAAGAAAATATTTCGTTCATGGTTGGCCTAAAACCGTAACAGAGCCTAAAATGTCTAGCTATGTACTGGCTTTAAAGGATGGCTATACCTACAGGTATTGTAATCCTGTTTATATTTATTACCCAATATACAGTAAGGAATGTATACGATTTTTGATTCAAGCAACCACTAGTTGTACAGTGGTAAGGAAAAGGCAATGCCTAGGCCTCTCTAGCTAATCGTGGCTTGACAGCTCAGTGCAAGAGATCTGATGTTGCATGCATACATCGTCATTGTCACGCTCGGTTCTCAAAATTATGCCTTCTATTTTACCGATGTTACGCATGCATCTATTACCCGATTCATGTCTGTTTTAGATTTTATGTTCTAAATGTTAATTTCGGATGTGGTATTTCTCAAATTTGTACTTAGTGAAAGAAAGACCTTTGAAAAAAAAAACATTTTTGGTCAGTCGACGAGGGCAACACTTCTTTTTTTTTTTGGCCTAAAATGTTTAGAGTGTGATTTGGTATATTACATTGGCTAATCAATGTTAATTAATTCACCACTTTAAGTATGCAAATGACTTTTCAAATGATCTCAAACGCATTAGCAAACAATTTACAGCACAAAACCATATTCACCGTAATGGAAATTTACAGACTCAATGGAAATAACGACACAAACGCCTCTGGTGTTGCGATAAGATTGATACTAATCAATTAAAATCTTCTCTTTATGTATGTAATTCTGATTGTGAAATTAAAAAAGGATTTAGTTTGACTTACCCAGATTGAATCAATTGCAAATTTGCATTAATTGAAAGTGTAATAGTTCAAAAGATACATATTTCACTAAATTATGATATCATTTAAAACACTTTATCATCTGGAGTGTAGAATTTCCAAATATTAAACAATAATTAGCAAACTCTAAATGATTCTATATATCTGTACCCAAAGTCAATATAGTTCAAAGATATAATATAAGATATAATATAACATAAACAGTTCCATTTCACACCGCCTTTTACTGCCCCAATAGTAAGCTACCAGGTACCCATTTATACTCTTAGGTGGAGACAAATGGAGATAAAGTGCCTTGTCCGAGAACACAAGCAAAATGGATAGCAAAGGCTCGAAACCCTAAAGTTGCGAGATCGAAAATACAACCACTGCATCAACCACTCCCACATAGATAAATAAGGAATGTGAATTTGATAGAAAATAGTGTAATGAACTGTGATTTCAATATACCATCATGTTTGTATTTGTCAAGCAAATGATAATATTATCGCTGCATTATTACCATTAATTAGTTCAGCCTTCATTTTTTGTAAGTTGTTAATTAGCATATATGTACATGTTTTACTGTATATTACAAGCCACCCTAATAGTATAATTAGCTCTTTAATAGTAACCCATATGGTGTTTTATTGCCATAGTGTATCTATACTGTAAATTATTAATTTATTAAAATTTAACTTATTATCTAACCACATACATAGATCCTGGGCATCTGATTAGTTAAAAGTACGAGAGGAAAATTAAGTTGTCCTTAGTTTTTTTTTTTACTATGGTCACAGTGCATAGTCACTTCCTGTTGCTACCACGCAGGGGCGGATCCAGAGATGTCTGAAAAGGGGGGCACTGAAAGTGGTGCTGATCGAAATAGCACCACTGTAGGGGGTCTGGGGGCTTTCCCCCGCGAAGGTTTTGTTTCCTAGATGCCTGAAAATAACCTCTAAAGGTTTGGGTGATCAATTTTTTTTTCTTTCTCTTTTTTTTTCCTTTCCAAAGGGGGACCGGCCCGGCATCCCTTTAAATTTGCCCCTGCTGCATATACTGATAACAGCTACAGAACACTTAGCCCACTAAAGAGGATTCCGACAAAAAACATTCAATCTAGGCCTAGAAAGTTAGCAAGCATGTTTAAAGCTATAGCCCCTTGGTGATTTTTAGACTGTTAACAATGCCCCTCGACTCTTGTCTTGGAGTATATTACAGTCTTGATATCACCTGGGGTATATAATGTGTAGTAAATTTTTGTATAACTATAAATTAACTATCAATTGTAATCAATAATTTACAAGCACATGAATATTTAGTGATAATACTAATATAATAGCTTATAAAATATCTGATGAAACACGTGTAAGTAATTAATTTCATTGTAATTGTGCGATTTCAACATCAACCAAGCATATCCTACAAAATCTCCACTTTTTGTAGTATCGGGCGGATCCAAAGATGTATAAAAGAGGAGGGCCGAAAGGGGGGCTGAAAGTGGGGCCGATTGAGCAAACAATACCCTAGGGGTCCGGGAGCAAACCCCCGCAAAATTTTTGTGTTCTAGATGCCTGAAAATTACCTTTGAGGCCCACAGTATTGGGCCATAATTTATTTTTTTTATTTTTTTTATTTTTTAACTTTCCAAAAGCGAGGCCAGCCCGGCCCCCCCTCTAAATCCGCCCCTGAGTATGGCCATTATACCCATTAATTCTCAATTACTTTGGGAATCATTAGCATAGATAAGCCACATGTAGCTACATATTATTAAGATACACAAATTTCTTTAGACTGATTGTAGTAAATATAATAGGACAATGTTAATTAATGTCATGTGTATTTTTCTCCCACCAGACTACATCCTCTGCTTTAATGGCAGCTATTCAGCTTGGATTAGGCCATTCCGTTGGGGGTCTGTCAGCGAAGCCAGAACGTGACGTGCTTCTCCAGGACTTTACTGTAGTGGAGAGTGTCTTCTTCCCACGGTGAGTTGCCAGAGAACATCTGTTTAAGAAAACGTATTGATTGTCCATTGACCTGTTGCTGTATTAATTTAGTATCCTCCACAACCTGTCATCATATTTGTATTCACTAATATTTCGTAGCCAATAAAGAGCTCCTTTTCTACTAATTAAAGGTTGATATACAAAATTCTATGACTTTAGGTAGTGATTTTTTAAATATTTCTTATGTAATCATTTTTAATAATTCTTTACATGATGGCCCCTGTCATTAAATTCATCAAAATCATACATAACCTTGGTCAGTAATGCAACCAGTGGAGAGGAAGAGGGCCTAATTTTATTCCTTAATATTTAATTATATGAAGAAATAATAATAATTATGGAAATTATATGGGATTATAAGGACTGATATGATCATTTTTAATGTTGTTACATTTGTAAATAATAATATTGATAATACAGTCAGAATTTGGGAAAATGTGTTAGATTGTACATTTAATTATTGATTTGTTTTGATAAATTTTTGCATATTTTTTGTCTCCGCAGTGAGGGCAGTAACATGACTGCTGCTCATCGGTATAATGATTTCCGTTTTAAAGCATATGCACCAATCGCATTTAGACATTTCAGGGAACTCTTTGGCATTCAACCAGATGATTTTCTTGTAAGTTTTTTTTTTTCTAATTCTCAAAGCTAGCTTAATTTTTAACAGTATGTTTACAAGTCGTATTTTTTTATCTAAATCTGAGAAGCTTTTCAAATAATGTGAACAAGACAAACTTATTCACATCTATCTGTAGGCTAAGCCTTCACAGATATGTGAACAAGACAGACTTCCTCATATCTATCTGAGGATGCTTTCACCAGTTTAATTAAATTCAAATTTCACCTTACAAATTACAATATCGGGTAATTGAAAGCGACTAAAATCTTAATTATTTTTAACTTAAATACTAAACCATAATCACTAAATTAAAATATTGTATGTATCACAATTGAATTTCAATGTCACCATACTTAACAATGAGTTAGATATTGAATGTCCAGATGATGGAAAAGATGATGCGATAATTAATTCCACAAAATGCATTACGCTGCTTTTGACCTTGCAGTGTTCCTTTATTGCTCTTAATAATGTAATCAATGTCAATAAATTAATGCATTTTAGATACAAATGAGAAAACATTAAATTCTTATTGTGGGAATTTTGTGATTCATATATTATTTAATAATATTCATATATTATCTAATAATGGGTGACTCACAATGGTAATAATGAGTGGGGCGGTGGTGTGGTTGTTAGGGGACTTAATGAGTGGGTTTTTAGTGTAATTGCCTTTAAATCCTGTCAACTCAAGAATGTATCATCACAACTAAATAATAAGTCCACACTAGAAAATTGTATTTTACAATACCTTTAAATTGCCTATCTATATATGGTGTGATATGACATCATCATACCCATATATGGGTATTCAACAATTTTTTTTTTGTTCACCTAAAAACTTGGTAGTGTTGCGAGAGTGCCTAAATGCCAATGTTAAATTTATTAAACAGTAAAGATATTATTAGTTAGATTTTTTTCAATTTCATTTTTAATCCTGTTTTAGGCATGCTAAGAAAAAAAAACCCCCCAATATCACCACAGTTTAATTGCGACTAAATCTTGTGCATTAAAGTCTGTATTTTATTACACGGAAATAATCATTATTTTCAAATGAACTTCCTACTTGTCCATTGATAACCTTCACAACTATTTCAACAAACTTTTTGGAATTAAATATATAATCCCTTTGTTTTCCTGTTTTTGTCAATGTTATTATTTCCCATCATCATATTCAAGTAAGACATCCTGCACTGGTATTCCTTGAACAATAAACCAGTCAGTAATAAATGGAACATTACCACTTGGATGTTGCCAGGAAATCTTGACCAATCTTCCCAATTTCTCAACACCAATCAATGTTAGACAACATGCTGTCTACTGCTAGGGTGTTGCCGGAAAATTTTACACTTCTAATGAAACACAGATCAAATCAATTTTGGTTTTCTGGTTATTTACACTTTTTAATGGTACTGTAGAAATTGATGACTGGTACAATTCAATTTAGGGGTTTATGTAACAAAATTGAGAGTGGAATTATCTGTGAGTCTGTTAATTGGCAACAAAAATGTTTCAATTTACAATTAATAGTAATTCAGTTGATTTTTTTATATTGCTGCAAGTGCCATCTTGGGCCAATATCTGCACAAACACAATGAAACAAAAAACAGTATGGTCGAATGACCCTCATACCCCAACCCCAAAGTAATTATAGATGTACAAAGTAATTTATTCTATCAATTATTCAATAAATTAATTTATCAATTAATCAATCAGTCATTTAATTTCATTCAAAAATATCGCAATTTTCAAAGAAGGAATCAGCATTGAAATATGAAAATCTGTGGTTGAAGTTTGATACTAGCTCTAAACGGCCAGTAGAACTTTCAAACAAATCTGTGGTTGAAGTTTGATACTAGCTCTAAACGGCCAGTAGAACTTTCAAACAAATCTGTGGTTGAAGTTCTAGCTCTAAACGGCCAGTAGAACTTTCAAACAAATCTGTGGTTGAAGTTTGATACAAGCTCTAAACGGCCAGTAGAACTTTCAAACAAATCTGTTTAAAGTACTGGTGCATTGTTTTAACCATATTCATATAAAACGCAGTGTTTTGATAATGTGCAGGGAGATTCATTAGCGTGCACTACATCGTACAAGACATTGAACTCAAAAGGTTTCTGTAAACTGTTTAATTTTGGATTTATAATCATCAATGACTGATCCTCTGACGTAAACACATAGTTCACACTGTAGACTGTAGTTGCCGTCAACCTAATGCCATACTCATTTGTAAGTGCTTTAATCATCGATATATTGCACTCACTTCTTACATGGTGTTTTCATCACAAGCCAAGATGTTTACCAAGTGAGCAAGTTAATTGATGGCCAGATTACCAATCATCCATTTTTAAAAAAACATTATTACAAGTGAACAAAACATATATGCAAGGGTAGAGAGTTCACAGTATATTTCACATACTCTAATATGTAAACAACAAAATACTTGTCAGTAAGACGAGAATACATAAAATAGACCTAACTTACAAAACATGTGCTACGGAAAAGAGTTTACATTGTATTTGCCATACTCTAATATATAAACAACAAAGTAATTGAAATTTTATTGTTGAATGCTGATGGAAACTAAATTGTATGCATTATATATTGTCTGAAAATGAAATGAAAGGGGAAAACCTTAAATTCGATCTAAACCTTCAATAACTCGTATAAAAGTATTATGTTATTAAGGTGTAACCAGAAACAGGTTTTTACAAATTCAGTTTCACTTCTTATTCAGTTTGACTATAAAAAGATTACCAGCAAATTTAAGGGTCTATGCAAAAGGATACATAAAGGTGTTATTCAACAGTATGTTAATAATTGAATAATTATTTTTCACTTTTAATTTTTTAATTGTAAATTAATAATAACTTATATAAATATTAGTTAATTCAAAAATTTGGTTGTTATTCTTAATATACTGTATTTATAATTGTAGAACTGTTTTAGTTGTTAATAAACCAAACAAAGTGGATTTTAACCTTATGTGAACTTTTGTCAATGTTCTTATATAGCGCATAATACAAGAAAGTTGCCCCTATGCGCTTTACATCAATTATTAAGAAACATAACCATGAAATATCCTAATACTACAAAGAGAACTAATAACGTTCTCCAGTACTTTGAAAACCCTAAAGTTAGGGGCTCGCTGTAACAGCATGACTTCTTCAGACTATGTTTATTATGATTAAAACAACAACAATAATAAGCAAACCAGTTCGAATATATTTATATTTAATATTTACTTATTATTATTACCTACATTTTTATTGGAAAAAACCTTTGATATCCACAAGCATACATTAATTATGAATTTTAATATCTCTGATAACTTTAGGACATGAAATAGGACGACATATTATTGCTTATGTTGTCTTATTATTGTTATTTTTTATAATAATTATCATGTATTTTCTCATCATTCTTCCTGTCTGCTTATATCTCTGTAGCTTTCAATGTGCAACCAAGCTCTTCGAGAATTGAGCAATCCCGGAGCCAGTGGTAGTTTATTCTACCTTTCAAATGATGATGAGTTCATTATAAAGACAATACAACATAAAGAGGTCGAGTTCTTACAGAAATTACTCCCTGGTTATTATATGGTAGGTATATATATTTAACAACAAATTTTACTTGCGCTACTCAACTGCACCTGACAGGGATAATAGGCAAGAAATGGTTGAATGCAACATCAAAATTGTTTTTTTTTTATTTTGTTTTGTTTTTTTATTTTTTACCATTCTGTGTCTGTACTTAAGGAATTCCCACATTTTTACATCATCATATTAGGTGAGCCCATATTTTTCATCAATGATTTTTTAGTGGGTCTTGGGTTTGAATCATGATGATATTTTTCTATAATAAAAAATTCACTGTCAATCAACAAATAATAACAACAAAGTAGGTCACTACATTATACATGAAATGTAGATCAAACTACTAGAAAATGATTAAAATCAATTTTTATACCATAATGCAGGTTTTAGCCTATTTTTGCATATCTTAATTCAACACAATTGTTGTGGCATATTAACCTATTTTTTGCTTATTTCTTAATACGACACTTTTGTTGTGGCACATTAACCTATTTTTAGCTTATATCTTAATACAACACTTTTTGTTGTGGCATATTAACCCAGTTTCGGCTTATATAATTACTCATTTTGTTGTGGCATATTACCATCATTGTCCTCTTAGGTTTTCTGGAACCGTTAACCAATGACAAATTATCTGCTCAATTATAGTGTATCTTGCTTTCTGGCAGATGTTACCATCCTCACTGCAGCATTCTACATCTGTTTCCTATGGTAACGTTGTTGCTAAGAAACAGTATAATTAAGTGCCTATCCTTAAAGATGTATTGTCCCTTGCTAATGTCAAAAAAATCATAAAAAATAATTTTGAAATAATTTTGCTCATATTGCAATAGCATACAAATTATTAACTTGTGCTTAAAAATTATTGAATTTAAAAAATGTGTACCCTGATTTTTAAACCAACAAATTACAATAAAAATAATAAAACACTTTCAGTGACTGGAAGTGTGTATCATTTTTCGCTGTAAACTGATGGGTGGACATTTTTTAAATACACTAATTTCTATGTTCAAGTTGATATCTTTTATGTTACTTCAAAATGGGCAAGTTAATTTCAAAAAATATTTTTATGATTTTTTTTTTGTATTTAGCATGGGACAATACATCTTTAATCTAAATAGGTTGATTAATTCTGCCACAATATTGCAAAGTCAAAATGTATTGGAATTATACTTTCAGTAAGTAGTCTCCCAACATACACTTACATCATAACTAAAGTTCATATGGGGAAAATCTTGTGGCTAATGCATTTGTAGTAGAATAGCATTATGCCGTGGGTGATTTTGACGCAGTCACCGCCTACACCTGATTTGTGGTGTTACACATCAGTGACTTCTTTTATATTCATACGTCTGTCAAGTAGACAGAAAAATTAAACATTGTTTTAGAGTAGACATTAGTGCAGTTACGCCCACACAAATGAAGTTGATATGCATGAGCGATTCAATCAATCACATGTCAGTCAGTCAGTATGAGAGGTTATTCTATCATTATTATACAGTAAACTGCAATGTTGTGACTATGATTTCAGAAAAAGGAAATCAAATTAAGTGAAACTGGATACACCCATCAAATTGTATGTCAAGTGTTGAAAATGAATACTAACATTACAGTGTTTGTTTATTGTTTTTTTTATTTATTTATCGAACTTTATTTACCGAGAGTAACCTAAAACAGCGGTTAGTTGACAACCATGGGGCCCTTGTGTAAAAAAAACAACAAAGTACAACACAAACGGCAAGGCAAAGTTAACAAATAAAAGCCTAATATACAACAATATATTAAAATATTCAAATTCAATTAAAATCAGTGTGTTGAAAAAAAATAAATAGAAAATATGAAGTATGTATATACAAAAGTTTAAAAGCATTAAGTGGTGAGGGTGGTGCTACAAATCCTCTATTTTATAGGCTACAGTATATGAAATCAACTAAGGTGACTGGGCTCACGCCAACCATGGGCGAAAACTATTTTAATTGGCGAAATAAAAAATTCAACTGCTTTAGCCATTTTGGCAAAAGCCTAAAATCAAAAATAGTTTTAAATACTTGCGGCCAATGCGATGTGATGGTGGTCGAAAGAGTATCCTACTATCATCGTTAATAATAATTTAATCAATGATTTCATGTTATTGTGGTGTTGTAGAGAGAGTAATTTCACAAGGCTAGCCTAACCTAGGGCCTAGATCGTGTACGCTCTTGATTATCGCGGTGACAACTTCGATCGGGCCCAACAGGTGTGGACGATCTGGCCCCAACCCAATTTTGAATATACTGTAGTCTGGTAAAACCACTGCTAGTTTCCCACCCCTGATATAGTTCAAAGCTAAAAAGAAAATACTGTATAGGCCTAGCCCTACTGTACATAATTTTGTCAACTTTTGTGATAGGCCTACATATTCAGCAAAATTTTAAAGTACCTCATTTATTGGTGTGCTAAAGATATTAATTTGCCTATCAAATAATGTTATCTCTCCCACCTCCCTGATTTTTTCTGGTACACTCATCGAGACAGAGGTGCATTTAGGAGAAACCACCCCCCCCCCCCCCCCCCCCCAATTTTTTATTTGAAAGTAAAAAGAAGGAATAATTGATTCTACCAAAAATGCCTCAGAGGTTTATTTTTAGGCATTTTTGGGAAAGACAAATACTGTAGGATCCCCCCCCCTCCCCCAAGTAGTGTTGTCTCGATCGCCACCATTTACTGAATGTTGTCTTTTTTCCCCAAATAAGAAAGTAAGTGTTAGGAAATTATTTTATTTATTCATTTATTATTTATTTCAAAAATATTTTGTGAGGGTTTTCCATCCAGCCAGACGTGATCAATTAGGACCCTAAGTACATAAAATATAAGACAAAAGAATTGAAAAAAAAATAAATTAATAAACTAGATCTTTAACATTAGCAAATTAGGTAAATTAAAACAGAAAAATCTGAAATCATAAAATGTTTATAAAATAATGATTTAATGAAAATAAAAATTATAATCAACAAAATGAAAATAAAAGTAAAATTGACACATTAAAAAAGAAGAAAAATAATTAAAGTTATAAATTAATTTAGAGAATCAAAGATCACATTAAAGACATTGAAAACAAATTTTTATAAAGAAAAAAGTCCAATGGGGAAAAAAGAAAAGCAATAGGATAATCTGAGATTACAAACCCTCGCCCTGTTACGCTATATCTATATTGTGAAAGAATAATGGTCCACGGTCGATCCTTTAAATGCAGGCTCGGTGGGAAAAGAGATTTTTACCGCCAGTTTTTAAATATTCAAAAATCTGTATCTCATTAACCGCTTCCGGTTTTTTTGTCAAATATGCTTTTAGTGTCTTAGAAAAATCAGTTATAAAACATATCAAAAAATTGTTTTCCTCTGGAGCCTGGCTATAAGTCAGCTCATCGGCCAAACGAACCTTAACATCATAGTAGTTAATAAATGAATTAATTAAAACATAAATACATAAATAATGATCTTGAAATAAACAGAATACGGATTGCAGAGTATTCAGTGCTGAACTGAACAGGTGGTTCATATTTCTCCTGTGCATATTGTGTAATAGACTGCTAGTCTCAATCATTTATGCTTTTAATAATAATGTACATTATGGTAATTTATTATACAATACTTTTATAAATATAAATTGTCAAAGTATCTTGTCTTATTCACTGTAAATACTTGAATAAGCATCGCTCTTGCTTATATGCCATTCCTGAATAATGCAGACATGGAAAGCACCATGCCAATATTTCTTTAATAAGCGTCACTCTCGAATAAGCGTCGCACTGAAGCCTCCAAAAATTGTATAACCGCTACGGCGCTTATTCAAGAAATCATAGTAATATTTTGTTTTCATTAATATCCTTTTCATATTAAAAAGTTTTTGTACTTGTAACATGAGTTAAGTGCAAAGGCAATGCCTATCTGATCAAACTATAAATAACATAAGAATTAATAACTTTATATCTGTCATTTCTTCCTTTTACAGAACATATATCAAAACCCTCGGACACTGTTGCCCAAATATTATGGACTCTATTGCTACCAATGTGGTGGAAAAAATATCCGCTTAGTAGTTATGAACAATTTATTACCGTCTCAATTAAGAATGCATCAGACTTATGACCTAAAGGGGTCAACGTACAAGAGGAAAGCTTCCAAACAGGAGAGGGCCAAAAAGAGACCCACATTAAAAGACTTGGATTTTGTGATTGATCATCCTGATGGCTTATTACTGGACAATGCTACATACAATGCTTTGCATAAAACAATGGTTCGGGATTGTAGGGTATGTACATTTATTTCATTTATTTACTTATTATTACTCATTCAACTGCAAACTGGCACTTATAACATATTTATAAAACAAAAGAAAATCAATATTAAACATGAGCAATAAAGCAGTATAAAGATCATCTTTATAATCATCACTGCTTTTTTGCTCATGTTTAATATTGATTTTCTTGATGATGATGATGTTGCTGTTCATGTCAACAACAACAACAATAATAATATTAAGTTTACACTGTACAGAAGTTGTAATGTCTAAAAAGTGTAATTGTTGTAGATTGCTCAAGGCTTTCTATAAGTGCTATTGAATAACATTTATTAGTATTTCCATTTTGCTCTACAATTTTAAAGGCTTAAATAGTAATACAGTATATTTCCGGTGTTTTAAAAATACTTTTTTTTCTTCTCAGGTTTTGGAGAGTTTCAAAATTATGGATTACAGTTTGTTGTTAGCTATACACAATGTTGATCAAGCAGATAAAGAGAAGGTATACTAAAAATATATGATTTTGTAAAATTTTTTTTATTCCTCCTTCATCTTTACTGGCATTATTCGCCAAACAATTCACTCCTCGCAAATCCTGATTCAGAGGTAATGGCTAAAGCATGTTGAAAGGTCAGAATTCTCGAAACACATTTAATTGCCCTAAACTAACCCTTGTATGTCTTTACATCATGCTATGTTGGTTTCCTTATTTTTGAGGTTAAAACAACATTTTTAACGATATAGTGATGGTCTTTTCCTGGGAATTCCTCAAAATTGTAAACTTTGAAGGCTGATTTCTCAATATTGTTATTTAAACAGCTGTATGTATAAACCCCTGTAACAACACAACAAAATGTTGGATATAAATTATTCTTGCAACATTTTATAACTTTCATTTTTCCATACACAAACTCAGATATGGTAATGATATTATTTTAATCATCATTTGCATAAATAAATCTTCATAATTACACAATTAAATAAATATATTTAAGATCACATGAAAGTTCTATTGTGAAAACATATTCTTCTTATTACCCCTTAAAAATGAAATAATCTAATTTCTTCTATTTTGTAATGACTATTTGTCTGATTCAGGTAGAGGCATCTGAAACAAGTACTACATCAGCCAGCAAAAGGAGCCCTCAGTCTGCCAGGCGAAACTCAGAATTAACAGCAGTAAATGATCAGGCCCAGGAACCCAAAACCACATCAGGGCTACAGAGAACACGGTCTGTTAACAGTAAGCCAAGGGTTGCGGCTTTCTCAACGGCACGGGAAGCTATCCAAGCAGAGGGAACCGTTGGCCACCAAACTGAGGAAGAAGATTCGTGAGTTGAATGATCTGATGATGATTATTATCATAATCATGATAAACAATGATAATGATTGTAACGACAGTGATTATAAATACAATTATAATGATAGTAACTACAATAATAATTTGAATTATCCAATTTTTGTAAATTGATTTTGTTTTCTTTTTGTAGCACGGGTGGAATTCCAGCAAAGAATGCGAAGGGCGACAGATTGTTAATTTTCTTAGGAATCATTGATATTCTTCAGTGCTACAAGTAAGTAGGCATAGACTTATAAAGTTTCATTTAATTATTCAACCATATATGAGGTCTCACCACGAAATGAGATTCATCGTTGGTGAAATCATATTGAGATATTCACCAAAACAGGCCAAAGTCAGCATTTTTACAAAATTTTGATTTTAATGTTTTTGAATAATTTGATATTTATATTTTATGATTGTTTTCTTGCCAAAACAGTGTTCTCTGCACATATTCTGTAATTCTAGTTATATTATTTGTACAGGTTAGTTTATCTTTGAGGCTGATTTTTTTAAAATGTGGTTCTTATATACCTAAACTTTAAATGCTAACATCTCTGGATTTACTTATAGTAGGAAAGCCATTTAAAGACCAAATGAAAGCTTATAATGTGATCTACCCAAATATAATATAAACTCAATTTTTGAATTTCTAACTATGAGACTCATCTTGTGGGGAGAGGTCACATATATGCATTTGAAAAGCACAATAACAACAAAACAGTGGCCAGGGATATGACAATGACACTCATGCTTGTGACTCTCCTATTTTAATGATATACTGTCTGAAGGTCTTTTTAAAATGCTAAACATTTTTATAAGATAATAAAATTAATTTTTGTGGTAATCTATAACTCTGTTACAAATGTATTATTCTATTTTTCAGATTAAAAAAGAAACTAGAACACACATGGAAAGCAATGGTACATGACGGAGATACTGTTTCAGTACATCGTCCAAGTTTTTACGCAAAACGATTTCAAGACTTCATGTTTGAGAGAGTGTTCAAGAAGATGCCTGGTAAGGAACTCAGAAATATCCTACTTGAAAATCAAATTGCTAACTTTATTTTTTCAGAAACTTGTTTTTTTGGCTGTGAAAATGTTTAATGACATATGACTTACATGCTGCAATTCAAAGACCTGTACTGTACTCATTTTGGGAAAAACCCAGAAATATGTATAATTTATTATTTGATCAGTTATGACTATTACTAACAAATATCGGTGCCAACAACGGTGGCATTCTCATGATTTACGAGATTTTTAATGATTGCTGAAAACACAAGTATATGTGTGGTCTTCTTTATGCTCTTATAATTCCAATCCACTTTTTTTTTTGTAACATGTCTGTAAATTTATGAAAATTGAATGATTTGATCTGTTTTTGATCAGTTTAAATGAGATTCAATGGTTTTAAGCCAAATAAAAAAAGTTATTGTATTTTCAACTTTTTAGACATAACACTTTATTGGTTAAAACAAAAAAGCACTTTTCCTAGATACCGACTTATCCATTTCTTGGATTTTCCCAAAATGTGGCCAAGACAAGAATTTTTTTTTTTGGGCCTAATAGATTTATTTGGATGGTAAAGAGGGTTGCAGATTTTTATCCAGGAAGATAATTGCATTTTATTCAGATAAGAACCCCAGAGGATTCTGATGGAAAAATATCATGGGACATAAGCCATCACTTGGTGCGGTCTCGGCTACAGAAAGTTTGTTCAAAGATTGGGAAATGTACTCTTGTTAGACAGAAGGAGTGGCACTAATCATTGTGCAGTCACTGGGAGATCATTACAATTAAAATAAACCACCACATTGCTATAGCACCTATTAATGCTAAAAACTTGGCCATGTTTCACACAGCACTCCAGAAGCCTTTGAAAGGGACTGTAAATATGATGGGATTTCTGATAATGTTTGTTGTGCAAAATTATTTTTAAACTCTTGGCTAATAATATATCCTTGGCTTCTAACATATTTTACTATAAACAACATATTACTAACAGTTTGTTTATTGTTTTTTTTTTTTACGAAAATAAATATATAGAAAATTAAGTACATAAAAATTCCTTACAGAATACTTAGTTACTAAATTCACAGTTATAGTTAATAATGAATGATAAAGTACAAAGAATGTTTTGGATCAGTAAATGATAAATGACTGGACAGAGAAGTAATGAAAAATGAGTATAAAGGTAGTGAATAGATAAATAAATATATAACAATACAATATGTGTATGACTTTGTGGTTATAGTGCCCATCTACCAATTGATACATTAATGATTTATGAATCCATTTCAAATCAAATCAAATCAATCTTTATTGCAATCATACAAGTGTTGATTGGAGTATACAAAGCCTTATAAAAAGGTGTGTAGAGTTTTAAGAATCTCAAATGACCAGCTCGATGGATGTTTAATAATGGATGGATTAATAAAATATGAGTTAATGAGTGGATAAATGAATGAATGAATAATTAGAAGAATGAAAATTTATTGCTGCCTTGCTTCCATTCCCAACATGCATCATGCTTTATGTTTTGTTATATTCATGCTGCACTGCCCTCACAGCTGAACCAATCAAATCAGTTGTGATGGATGGTAATATTTTATTTTTGGCTGAGTTCAAATTTCACCAAACATTACTTTAGATCATAGTGTCTCTAAGCTAAGATCCACCAAAAAAATGTGTTACATGTCAAACTGTTTTAAAGATGTATTGTCCCATGCAAAATACAAAAAAATCATACAAATCATTTTTTAAATTAACTTGAATTAACATAAAAAAATTATCAACTTAAACATAGAAATTAGTGTATTTAAAATATGTTTACCCATAATTTTAGAGGGAAAAAATTATAGAAACACCAGTTACTAGATTTGTTTTATTATTTTTTATTATACTTATCCAGTTTAAAGTAAGAGTACACATTTTTAAATACAATAATTTTTATGCTCAAGTTAATCATGTTTATGTTACTGCAAAGTGAGCAAGTTAATTTAAAATTTATTTTTTATGATTTTTTTTTATTGTCATTTTCAAGAGAGAATACATCTTTAAGTGTAGATCACTTTACTGTTTTCTTTTTACATCATCACCATCACCCTCACCTTATAATAGTGCAAGAGTACATTCATTCATTGAAGCTTATTTTAAATATTTTTTTAAATTTTTTTTTTCTTTTGTTGTTTTGTTATATGTATATATTAGAAACAAAATATTAAAGCAACATTGGGTTAAAAAAAAAAAATGAAACTAACTTTGCATATTTGATCATGTAATGCTAATTTGCATAAACCATATGATCACCTGTAAAGTATGTCACATTAAATGTACTCTTGTTCTTATGAAAGGTATTATGCACCACTTGCATGATCATTCTATTATTATACAATACAATCACTTTACTACCAAATATCAATATCCCTTTGAGTTACATCAATTCCATCGCACCAATGAACATTGCATTCTGCCGTGAATATTGAAATATTAAAATATTGAAATTTTGAAGGTGTTGATAATAATTTATAATGCCTCTGACCTTTCACATAAATACACAGGTAATTACGATTTCCAAAAATTATTGCATCCACACTATTCATATTTTTTATCTATTTTTAAAGACACTGGGATTCCTTCTGACAGAAGCATGACTGTTCTACCAAACTTAGATTAATTTGTTCTTATTTGCACAGAGAGAATTCATCTTGCACATGTGTGGATTATAAGTTTGTAGCTCATCAGGTATCAAAACATCCAGGTTTCTTGTAGCCCAATTGCAAGAAATACCTCCTCCCATATTTTGTACTCTTCAAAATACATAGCTATAGAACTGTACCACACCCTCCCTCTTCCTTGATACACAATTTAATTTTAAGTTGTCATTATTTATTGAGTTAATGCATTTTATTCTAGCATTAAAACATTCACCATCCAAGAGGAAAGGACAGACCAGCATACATGGTTCAGCGTCAGTAAACCGACCTCGATCAAAAACAGCGCCCTCAGAAATTACAGACCCCCAGACTACCAATCAAGAAAGACCATTGTCATACAAGTCAGCAGTCTCGCTTAGCGATCCAGCAAGTCCACCAGGTGAGTCTGACCACTGGTCCTTAGTGTACCGTAAGTGATGTTAAGCGTTGCAGTACTTATAATGCTTCAATGCAGCACATATTTCCAGGGTCTGGAAGCATTGCAAACTCAGGTTTTTATATAGGCTTATATTTCAATTTTACCATCCAATCATTTTAAAAATGTGTCAAGTTCTTCCTTATGTGACTGGAAAATTTGTTTGCTTTACCCTCATATGTGTGATAAGTGAAGAACAAATTGAAAAAGTATAATTTTATTTCAGCAACTGGAGCACGACCTAAAACTCAGCCTGACCTAGTACCAAATCGACCTCCCACGTTTGAAGATGTATTAGACGATGATAACAATGTCGGTGAAAAGACGGAAGAGAAAAAAGAGGTGGCAGTAGATACAGAGGATATACGGCTGCAAGAGATTGACAGCGAACAAATCAGTAGTGAGGCTAGTGGCGACAAGTCTGGGTAAGTAGATAACAAGTTTACCTTGCGTGAAATGATATCGCCTTGAAGTACATCTGATTACCAATCTGAGTGGCTGCTTCTCGAAATTCAAATCAATACTAGAGCATCGTGAGAGTGCTCAGAGTTACAAAAGGGAGAAGTGAACTACTTTAGTACCCAAGTATTTTATTGCATTTCAGTAGAGATTTTTCCGTCTAAAGCTGAGCACTGCCTGCGTCGAGGATCGTACGACCGTCAGCCAACGAATCAAAATCCGTCGCTGTGAGCGCTAGACGACTCAACGCCGTCTGCTGAATGTTGTTGACAGTCTGAACGGGTTGTCAATGAAGATTATTCGTTGCACGCGTGTTGTGGCGTTGTGTTCTTCTTAGAATCGCGACAACTGTCGGGCGCAGTAATTGTCCGGCCTAAAGGATTCTCATCACAGCATTCAACAATTAAAATATTAAATCCTTTGATAAATTGTTTTAGGACAAATAAATAATGTTTTCATCTATTTTCCCCTTGGTTATTTATTTCAAAATTTATGTATTTATTTTATTTTCTAGTAAACAAATTTCTCAAGAAGATGATCAGACGATTACAAGAAGTTCCAACACTGTAGCGGCAACAACTTCGGTAGGTAAAAAAGTTCTCATCGATAGAACAAAATACCGAATAAGTGAAGTATAAAAACCAGAGATCATTTATCTCCTTTGTTTGGAGAGTACAAGTGATGAAACCATCTGACAGATGTACATCTGGTGAAATTGAAGACTAACATGTAACCTACTTTGCATAACAGACATCTACAAGTAGCAAATGCTTGTGGAATTAACAGGTGGCTAAGGCAAGCACCTGATTGTCAATGTTAATTCACAGGTGGCTAGTATAAGCGCCTGACAGAAAAGAATTTGTGGGTTGTCTAACGCATCTGCCAAGTTAACTTCCAGGTCTTTGTCACCTAAATAGCTTGTTAACAAACAGTACATAAGTGTTAAGCATTTTAGAATTTAATGTGCTTAATATCAGTACATGTATTCTTAATAATTAGAATTTGCCAAGTGCATGTTAGTGTTGAGCCTTGGCATGTTTGATACGTTAATTAGCTAGTACATATCAGATAGTCTACAGAACAGTATGCTAAACACAGTGCTAGATAACTCACCGTGTATATAAAAATTCAAGAAGTATTCGCCATAATGTTCAGTTGAGGAAGTAAACTAGCTGCAGTGGCTGATGGGATTCATCGCCCTCTCCCAGGCAATTTCAACGAATTTAAATGTTGAATAAAAATGTTATTGGTTTCATTCAAGCATTTACATGATGGCATAGTGAGTTTCTATCAAGACATTTGCATGTACAGTTCTTTGTAAAAGACAGTCAAAATCTACAAGAGCCTTTGCTCGACAACATGATGGCTCGTCACAAGATGTAGAGATAATTTCTAACAGGCTTATTTGAAAAGACTATTTACTTGAGGAGCCAACTGAAAATGAACAGAACTTGAGGGCGTTGTTTTGAATGGAAAATGACGTCACCTTTGAAATCATCACCTTTAAAATACTACATTTAAGAGTACTACTGAAAATACTGTTGATTATTGGAAACTAAACATATGAATGTAAAATCATAGACTGGAAGCTGTAGTTATAGTGCTTGACTAATGATCACTTCCTGCTTTTAACTGCGCTTCATCACTGCCAATCTACATAGCTTGACAGTCACGTTTGCGGCTTGAATCATCTCGGCAGCTTTCTCGTATTGCGCACAACTTTTTTTTTTATTCTAAAGGATTCAGATAAAATAAGTTTTTATATTTTAGGATTAGTTATAAAATAATTTTATTTATGTAAAGTATGTAAAGTGCATTCATATATAATTATACTTATCTATTGTTTATATTGTAATAATATTGAAAGTATAATAATATTTAATATATTTAATACAGAATTGATATTTTAGACATTTTAAGCTAAGTTATTTGTTAGTGGGAAAGTATCAGGCCCACATAAAAATCTAAACAACATACAGTATAAGCAACAAACTAAAAGAAAATTACTAAAAAAGACGCTTACGGGAAAAAAATTGCCATCGAAAATAGCCTTCACAGGTGGAGCGTGTAAACACAGAAGTTTTGGTTTTACAAGAGGAGGGAGTACACTTGCCATTAGTTGGTCATACCAATTGAAGGAAAGTTTTACCAGCTAGAGAATTGCCATTTATGAATCACCTCATATAGTAATATTGTAACAGGTGGAGGGTATATACCTAACACCTGTCATTTATTTAAAACCTGGGGCGGATTGCTATAAGGGGTCTTTAGACGGTCTTAACGGTTAGCCAGCTATAATCATGACGTCACTACTGGTCTATAATTACAGACCATTGCTATACTGCGGTCTAACCAGTTAGCCGTCTTAAATTTTAAAGCCTACTCAGTGGAGGCTTAAAACGGTCTTAAATCATTTCCATCATGACGTTCTGCTGATAAATTCAACAGTGCAATGGCAAGACCTAGGCCTAGATCGTCAAGGTTGGAGAACCGAACGACGAATACTCTGCACACTTCTCAGCGTCAAAATGTCAAAATAGGTCTATGGCGTTTATTTATGTTAATTTCGATAAATTTGCGTGCATCGAGCACGCATGATGTCGCCCTCAATCTTACGGTACCAGGGAGTGCTTGTTTGTTTGCATTTCAATACTCAAAGCAGTCTTAGAATAGACTGTTTTATAGCAATGTTCTTAGAGGTATGACTTTAGTAAGACCATCTAAGTGATAAAGCCAGCTTTATTCGAGGAGTTAAGACTACCAGTTAAGACCGTTTTATAGCAATCCGCCCCAGGTAATGTGCAGTCAGGTTTTAACAGGTGGAGGAATTGACATTTATAACATTCCTATATTATTTATAAATCATAAGTCAGACCAAGCAGGTATCAAATTCAAGTTTATACCTCCATTTCCCCTCACTCAGCCACTGTGACATACAAAGCAAGTCTTACTTTCACAGCTTAAGCATCATCTACACAGCTTAGCATCATACCACACTTTAAATTGTTTTATAATTCGTAAACAATTACCATGTAATGAGTAATTGGGATATTTGTCCCAATGTATTGACAAAGTTCACCACATACATTCCTCTAATTGTGTTCTTGCACACATGTATGCACAGGTTTGTGTAAATTTCTTTAGAAATACACCTATGTAAACATGGATATGCTGTATATTCTTTGGTATTTGTAAAGATTGATATACTGCATACTCCATTTTTATGTAGACCTATGCACAGGGGCATATTATTCCTTTGCACATAACCCTACCTTGGCATTGTAGCGCATGTGGGTGTTTTGTAAGTTAATTTAACAGAAGCTCATATACAATATTGGCTCGGGTATAAGCTCACCTACCAATCCCAACGTCCTGGGTACTCAAATACAATATTGACTCTGGTATGAACTCGCCTTCCAATCCCAACATCCTGGGTACTCAAATACAATATTGACTCTGGTATGAACTCACCTACCAATTCCAATGTCCTGGGTACTCAAATACAATATTGACTCTGGTATGAACTCCCCTACCAATCCCAACGTCCTGGGTCCAATTCCAGCAAGACACTCCAGAATTTTGCTGAATCCAAAAATAATTCTAATCTTCCAAGCCGTTATGTATACACCTGTTCACAGAGCATTAAGCACTCTACCTCATCAGGTTTACTTATAGATCACAATTTTAATATGGTGTAAAAAAATGGGATGGGGTAATGTCAGAAGACAGTTATATACTTGCAATAAAAATTGATGACATCATAAACTGCAATTCTGAAAGATATTTTACTTGAAAGTCAACCACTTAGATAGTGACAACACCAGATGGAGGGGGATCACCACTGTACTTAGGAGGGATTTTACATCAAAATGAGCTTGTGCTAGAGTCAGTGTAGTATGGGTTCTTGTTTAACCTAATTTATTCATGGTAACACATTAGCACAGATTGTATGTAGAATTGTCTTGTGTGATGTGAACAGTCGTCCTGTCCACACTATCAAATTAATTGACAAAAACATGTGACATGCCTAAATATTGTCATGATGACATCATATGTCCATATATAGGCACATCATGACTATATATAGGCACATCAGACTATATATAGGCACATCATGACTATATATATAGGCACATCATGACTATATATAGGCACATCATGACCATATATAGGCACATCATGACTATATATGGGCATATAATAGTTTTTTGTTCAAATGAAAATGCACCCACAAAGATGTTTAAAGACTTCATTAATATTTATTTTTCTTTTTTCATTAAACAATGTTGTTGTTTGGAAATACTGCAGTTTATTAATTTTCTGATTGTATTTCTGTATTCCCTTAGAAATATCTTATGTTTGATGAATGTTTTATCAGTTTAATATCTTGTTTGATGTCTGCATGTTATGATAGTTTATCATGTTCCCTCTCTCTCTCTCTCTGCTTCAACTTTCTAGAATCAAGCAGGGTCTTCAAACAGTGACTTGTCAAGTTGCCTAGAACTTCAGTCGGAATTGGATGCATTCAATAGTTCGCCTATTCCAGTTAACAATGATAATTACGATAGTAAACTATGAGACATAGGAGTATTATATATTCATACAAAATTTATGCAATTCTTGTTTTGTATTTTCATCACAATTTAATTTGTGTGCACTAATATTCTTTAAAAATTTGTGTTCAATATGGGATCCGTTAAAGAATCACAGCTAATACAACATTATTAATTTTACTTTAGTAAGCATTTACATTTGTACAAACATATTTTCTTCTAATTTAGAATTTATAGTTTAGTCATTATTTTTTGTTATTATAGAACATAATTTTATAATAATATGTTGAATTATAAAAAAAAAAAAAAAAGAAACTATAGCGGAATTAAGGTATTGTCTTGAACCTCCAAACCCTTTTATCACACCAGTAACTATCCCACATTAAGCCTTTAATACCATCAAATTTGACCACAATATATATTGTCACAAATCGGTATAAACACCTTGATAAGAAAAAATACCATCAATTATACAATACTTTTTGATCATTAAATGGTACATTACATACATTAAAGAGTGTTTATTAAAGTATGCCAGTTAAAATTGTTAATGCAAAATCAGCCAGTATACAGTATTCAGAAATTGCTTCTGCTCAATTAAAGTATTTTGTACATTAACAAGAAATGATGGTCACATGTTCATTAATAATAACTGTTACTCCCACCTGGATATGGAAATTACTATTAAATTTGGACTATGAAACCAACATATTGACCATCAGAAGTTATGGGATTCACTTTCTAAAAAATAATTTTAGTTTATCACTTAATAATTATACAAAGTAATTATCACAAAATAAAAATCTTTTTGAATAATAGTATGGGATGTCATGTGTATTAGTTTTTTGAAAATGTTTTGATGTGACAAAATGTATGTAAAGTATTTAATTTCAGGAATATGGAATAAATATTAGGGACAATGTCTGACTGATTGATTGACTGGCTGAAATTCAGTTTTATCAGTATATTGCTTTATGTTACATAGGGTATAGAGTAGTTTCATGCTATGTAAAAATGTATTTAGTTTCCTATTCGCTGTTTAATAAAAGAAAATATTATTTATTATTGGGTCAGCTTATATTTACCATATTTGTCATTTATCATGAATTGAATCACTAAAATATGTTATATATTATTTTTTTTATGTTTTTGTTACTTTCTGCATGAAGATTGTGTTTGCCTTTAGATATTTGTTTAAATGTTGTCGATGTATTTTTGACTGTACATCATAGCATGGGCCACATAGTATGTGATTACCTGTAAGATGATCATGAACATGAAGCACCTGTAACACACACCATGTGAAATGCATGATACTCTGGTATAACACCACATGGTACACCTATAACCAGGGGCGGATTTTGGAGGGGCGGCCCGTCCCCTGCACCCCCTTTTGGGAGGTAAAAAGAAGAAAGTAAAAGAAAAAAATGATAGCCCACAATGCCTCAAATGTTATTGTCGGGCGTCTAGAACACAAAAATTTCGCGGGGGCATGCCCCCGGACCCCCTAGGTCATTGTTGTCTCGATCGGCCCAAATTTTGGCCCCACTTTCGGCCCCCTTTTGGACATCTCTTGATCCGCCCCTGATAACACCATGTTAAACACATGGTACACCCATAACACACACCTAAAACAGATCAAGTGGCCCACAATACCCTGTAACCATACTGGTATGTGACAAATGACTCGTCTTTTTAAAAGAGACCATGTGCTAAACTTGATCTAGACCTGTTATACAAGTGTCACTACTCATCTATACACTGTATAACACTCCTGCAAAACAGCTGCAATAAACCTGGGGACACCTACTGTACAATTCATCTGTTTGGTATATCTGCAACAATACACTTTCAAACATGTTATAGATAAACCTAAAACAAATCTTGTTGGCTAAAGCACATTGACCATTGGAAATCAGGCAGTTTGTCAGCTTAGTTTAAGTGTTCATGACTAACCAATAGTTAAACTAGGCTAAACTTTGTGGAAGGTGCTGCATTTAGTTAATTAAAGCTTAAAACTTCCCCCTTTCAAGATCATACAAGTATAATTTCCAACCCTGGATTTAAACATTTAATTTCAGAGGCTTGGCCAATACAACACAATTTTTTGTCCTAACAGTGATTATTACCATAATAAACATAACCATATATAATGAATGAGTTGAATGAATTATTGTTATTAAAGTATAGTGGTATGTTCTTTTTAATTATAAATTTGCAATATAATATTTTCTTAATAAAATATGATTTACCTCGAAATTCAATTTATGTATTTTGATGTGTTCATTTATTCTTAAAATCCCAATAGTTCCCTTGCATATGTACACATGTAAATGCAAGATGTGTATTGTAAGCATTTATGATCAAAATTCTGTGGTCGGGCCAACCAACTAAGAGCTTTTTGGGGTCAGTCGATGAAATCATCATCATCTTGATGGGTTTTATACAAAGGGAGGAGTGGATTGGTACAGTATATCAAAGATCATATATCCTCCTGGTTTTGAGCCTGTAACATATATAATGCATGCCTTATGCATTAGTAAGAATCATTAACTTATGTTGTTCTGTTATATGCATTCCATCTGTTATTGTCAGTAATGTACTAAAGTATTTATACCATCTAATTAAGTTATTACTTTTTGTTAATACTAACATGAAACTTTCCTTAAAGGTAAGATGTCTTCAACTTTCCATTTTGTTCATCCTATGTGCATTTGAGTTGAATATTCAGTTGTTGTCTTGAACAACTTAAACTGTTAAGCTTGCCTGCTAATTTCCCTTGTGTAGTTTGCTATACCTTAAGAAGCATGTGCACGTTGAATGTATCTGCAGGTAACATCTGTACACTAACACTCCAAGCTAATGATTAGGAAGAAGCAACTTCTTTGGGAGATTTCTTAACAAATGTTATTGTATTCTGCTGTGTGTGTAGTGATGGCCAACTAGTTATAAAGTAGTAAAAACACTCAAACTTTTGGAATTTGCTGGAGATTAGTTTCCGGAGATTTTTTCTTGTTCACAGGAGTGTATGAGACCATCCTGAATTTATATACTCTGGCGACTTCATATGTGTACAGTTATACAGTACTGTACATCTATGTTGGCACTATTCTTCCTAATAGACATGGCACTCAATATATTTTTATGCAATATATATCTGCAAAAGTTTTCTCTGGCTCCATTGTAGTACCTGTACTGATTAAGTATCCACATTTAGGATCATTCATATTCTATAGCCTGCATCATCCACATAATAAACGCTATATAAAACCGACATATTATTATTATTATTATTTATTAAATGCATTCATCCAATTTGATAGTATAGCCTGGTGATAGTATGTACCATAGTCACTACATTATAGTAGTGCAATAGTATCAATTTGATAGTATAGCCTGATCGTATATACGACAGTCACTTCTGTACATATAGTATGTTGTTAATACATCACTTGGCAATCCATTCGATGTAGAGTCAACCCATTTGGTGAGTTACTTGCAGACTCGTTCAAATTATTTGAAACAGTGCACTTCCTAAGCCTCATGCATAATTCTCCATTTAAATGGTTTATCATTTCAGTAGTAATTCAAAAGTTTCTATAACACCTGAAGGTTTGTCCTTATTGCAATATAATATTGTTATCTATTTCCTTACACCCATAATCAGGTCAAATTTTAGTATCAACTACGGAAGATCTGTAGAACCTGAGAACTCTGCTTTTTGAATGTGAATATAAAGAATTTTAAAGCTTTCAAAAGCTATTCTGCTTGTTGCTTCAACAGCATTTTCAACAAATGATCATATGTATTTTATGAAACATGAACATTGACAATACTGTATTGAATGGTGATGGGCAATAACATATTAATACTGTATTAGCCACCAATTGTAAGCTTAGGAAAATATACACCAACGCTTTCTAATGACACTATGATTTACATGAGCAGGACTGTAGTATGCACAGATACAAGAAAATGATTACAATATCTGTAATCATTGATTGTGATTACTTTTCTTGATAAAGTATTAAGAAAAACCTCAACTAGTATTTGTATATGAGAGTACAGCTTGTATTGTAGCTCTATACAGTAGCATGATGTATATTTGTGTTTCTCTATATTGTTGTTATACCACTTGAACATCATAGTTTTATCCACACGCTTTTCTTTGCACTTTTCATTGCAAACACATCTCAGCTCCTGCATTGCACCATGAAGTATTGATATTTTATTATTTCTATTTTTGAATTTTTTTTTTGTTTTTTTTTTTTTTTTTTTTTTTGTAAAACCAGAAAATTTTTTTTTTTTTTGTTTGACAAACCAGAAAGTTTACTATAGACTCCAATGATACTTCATTGAATGTTGTAGATAATTTTACATTAATTACATTTTCAATATTGGTAAATAATATCCAAGTTCACTGTAGGTAAGTTTTTTCATGTGTCATTCCTATTTGCATAAGACTTTCCTAGCCACCTTGCACACTGACTCATTTCTTTTTTCTTATATTTTGCAGTGATAAACTACACACCTCATCTCATGTGAGAATCAACTTCTTTCATATCACCTTCTTATGTGTTGAATGCTGTATTGAATCTCTGTTGTGGCACAACAGCATACAGTAATTGCAGATCTCAAAGAATCTATAGTCTGGTGACTTTGCAGGTGTTATGCAAATATTAGATGAGCAGGTGGTCTGAGAATATTAGATGAATAATGATTTACAGTAAATCAACTATTGGTAGATGGTTCACTATATAGTGAATGTTAGATATGTGGTCCTAGATTTTCATTGTACCAATGAAAAATACAATTAGCTGTTCTACACGTTCATTAAATGAAAATCTTCACTTATGAAACACAATTGTTCATTAAGGAAGATGTTTATTAAATGCATGTGTTAATAATTAGTTAATGTGTTAATTAATATCATGTGTCATTTTAACACAGATATTAATTAAGCATACGTTAAATGCAGGTGTTCTCGGACAACAGTGTACGATGCTGTCTGAGTTGGCCTTTACAGAGGTGTTCAGAGTGTAAACATTTTGTAACCCGGCCGTGGACATTCTGAAAGTTAGCAATGTGAAATGTCTGTAACAAATTTACGAAAATTTCTAGGTTACAAAATGTCTGCCACCCATGTTAATTAACATACGTTTCATTATAATATGCAGGTGTTTACTGAATACAGGTGATCATTGATCAGGTGACTTGTAGAGCTTTCAGAGATCATTATACATAGTAGCATAAACATTTCTATGGTCATCAATGGATTATATGTCAATTTAGTTAGTTGGTACAGGTGGATTAAATTTGCATACAGTCAATAATTATAATTATTCATGATTAATTACTGCATCTGCTATATGTTATTGGTTTTAGTCATTACAAAACATAGACTATGTTGTGTAAAATAGCACTTTGTTTTTGATAAAAAAGGAAAATCTTGAGCTGGATTATAACCTATAAATGGGCATTTTTGTTGTCATTTTTGTTGCATTTTTAGGTGCAATATTAAGAACAGGTGAACTGTGAGAGAATATTTGGCTTTTTAATTTTCAGTGCAGAATAATTTAATTGCATATCTAACACACAAATATCAAGTACATGAGTTATGGTTATAATTTACTTTTACCAGACTGTTTTGTTACACTCAAAATGAATTGTGGTAGAAGTATCAAGTAGATGTAATTAAATAGTCAATTCCATTATTGATAACAGATTTGCATACGATTAATTGCTTTATTTATACCACTCTACATGATTACCAGACATGAACAGGGGAGAATGTTTACTTTTTGTATAGATTTGTAATAAAAATGATAAAACTCACAAAATACTAATTCAGAATATTTGGTTGAGTATATTTAGGGGTCTTGGCATACATCTACTACATACATTTAAGATTAAACTGGTATTATGATGTAACTAAAAGTAGCTTTTAAACCTCAAGACGAATGAAATATAGAAAGGCCCTTTCAGTCAAAATATTTAAATAAAATTGATGAGAAAAATAATAATACATATGGAAGGTTCTCTTAATAGAATTATCGAGTAAACATACACAGATACAAATTAATAATAGATAATTGACTTTTGTATATTATTTAGTAAAAGTACTGAATAACATAGTACAGTAATTGCATTTATGAATAAAGGAGAAATTTGTAGTGTACCTATAAAGGGAAAATTATATGTTGTTAACTAAACACAGTGTTCAGATTTAACCAGTAAAAAAAATTGTTGAAATTCTGGGGAAAATGATCAAGTGTTTTTATATGAACATTTTGAAAGTATTTTTAATTTCGTATCTTGCCAGTCAAAAAGTGTTTTTTTAGACCAAGGTAACCAATTCAATTTCACTTTTTACCATACAAAAGTGTTGATGTTTGCCACCAGACCTTTAAAAAAAAAAAATGAAGTACTAAATCTGAGTCAAGTGTACTAAAAGAAAATATATCCTGGTTTGTTTTTGTTTTTTTTTAATTCAATGATTTAGATTTGCGTAGATTGACTGTCTTGAAATGAAATATTTAACCATCACCTTCAATGTCTTATATCATTCTTGTGACTCCATCATAATGCATTTGTACAGTAACTTTCTGTCGTTCAGTTAGCACCTCTAGACATTAGTGGTTCAAATTGCTGATGGAGGGCCTGTTGATGTTTGCTCATACATTTCATTTCATACGGTGCATTATTTTATCCAACAGGCCAGTCAGAATGTCTTTTATACTACATATCAACTATAGAAACAGAACTATATTACCATCAATTTTTAATTAATCAATTTATTTATAAATCTTTTGCTTTAATATTCCATATCTCTGCCATGTTAGTTTCTAAATGTATATTTTATTTTGTCTCCCTGTACAATCCATTCTGTTTTTGTTTTTCAAACATCAGTATAATCGGTATGCATATTCTGTTAGAGGGCAGCATATTATATGCTATTACTATATTGATTTTTGTGTATGTTAACAACTTGTAAAACTGATTGGTAAATGTGTACTTAGACTTATAATATTATGTATATATGTTGTATGTATTTATCATTTTCATCAATTATCAGTATGGTATTATTATTATCGTTTTTACCGTATTTATCTCATGGATCAAATAACTCCATTTGTCATTATTTTTTTAGTGGAATATGTTTACTGGAAATTTTCACTTAATTTGTTCTGCTGTACTTGCAAGAATAAATATTTAGAAATGTATTGTTGTATCCCAGGGTTGTCCACCAAGCATCTGTTCCAAGGCAAAACATTGTAACTTAAAAACATAAAAGCCGTTAAGTTGTTCTTGCCATGGGGCAGGAAATGGCTTGGTACGTGTTACTTAGGTAGTTTTGGTTTTGAATCGCCTTAAAAGTTATTCGAATTGGGCACTGTCAACTTAGACAAGTTTAACTGTATTGTCATTTCTATATTTCTATTATAATTATTATATATTATTTATTATATTTATTATGTACTGTTATCATAATTTTTATTATTATTGTTATTATTCTAATTATTGAATTCAAATTATATAAATGGATACTGTTGACCTGCAAACCCTGACCTACAATGGCTATTCATAATGCTCGATAAAATTCAGCAAAAATTGAGGTCTATATATTCAAAGTATGTGTGCAATCTAAATGAAAAAAGAAGAGATGACAAGTGCTGCAGAAAATTAGAATTTTGTATGTTTGAAATTTAAAGGTAATTAAAAATTAAAAGGCCGGCATGATCACCTTGATGTCACGTCTTGTTACCGGTAGACTTGCTCGTCGATCTTCTTCAATGGGGTCATTTCGTTAGGTGTTGATTCGCACCGATGGATTTGTAGCATGTATGCAATTGCTTCCTAAGAATTTAATGTTTATAATTATAGTTGCCATTATCTTTTGTTATGTCTGTATTGATAATCACTCATGAATATTCATATATGCATGTGAATACACAAATGAGGTGTTCACTGATGCATGAGTTGTATTAAAGAAGTATATAAGGATAAGTAGTTACTGTAAGAAACTATTATTTACAAAATAGTTAAAGTTTAAAAAGTAAGTACAATATTGAATTCCACAATGTAGCTCAGAAAACTTGGACAATACTGACTATATACTAAGTTCTATCTATTGTATTTTTTTCCACCAAATAATTATGTATAAAATACAGCAATAAACCTTATGTTACTATAAAATAGGAAATTTTTTGTGTTTTTAGTTATTCTTCTCAAAGGAGTGACTGTTATTCCTTGTCCCTCTTTATGTTGTCGTTTGTGGTTGTTAATTTATTCAATAGAGTGGTGGTGGTTCAGAACAGTAATTTTGTGCAATTTTAAGCTGTTGTAAATTGATTTAGAATGTATTATGCCAAAATAATTGTTAAAAATATACCAGTACCTAAATTTCCCCACTTTTTGGTTCATTGAATAATGACTGACAAGGGGCTTTACCTGTCTGACAGGGTAGGACTTGCATAAGAACTGATACGAAAAGTGCTTCCAAATCATCAGCATCATTTACTTCATATACATTCCCTTAAATCTATACTTTATTAAATTAATTTATTTACTGTACTTTGATATAGCAAGTCAAAGCTACTACATTTGTATATAATACATACTGTATATAAACTCCAGTCTGTATGCACACAACCTTTATATATGCACACATTATATTTGTGTGCTATCCTTCATAAGTAATTCAGCAAAGAGGCTGCAAGTCATATTGAAGTTTCAATAAGTCCAGTGGTGGTGCCAGTCCCTTGGGCCGGCCTGTACCCACGATGATGTCATCGGAATGAAAATAATTTGCCTATCCAAATAACGTTTTGATTGCTAAACCCTAATATAGTACTGTAGTCTAAAAGAACAATTTGGGCCACACTAAAGCCATACAAACTGAACCCCACCAGGGTTTTTTTATTCTGGGACCCTCATCATAGAGGCTCTAGTAGGCCCCTTGGTTCGGACAAAATCCCCATCACACAGCCTGTCGGAGCCACTGCTGAATAAATAACATTCTCATTATTATTTATTTTGCTCACACTCACAATGATGACTCATCATTTACTGTATATTTGCCTATAACAGTCACCACCATTATTTACGTGTACTTATGTACTGTATTTAATGGTCAATGTTTGTGCCTATGTGCTTTCCAGGCCGAGCGAAAAGAGCAAAACCAGAAAAGGACCTCTCCAGCAAACCACACGTAGAACACCTTAATGTCATTGACTTCTTTTACATTTTCCTGAAGGGAGTGCGATGAATTGTGCTATGATGCAAGCAATGCCGTAGCCAGCTGTTGGGACAGTCCCACACAATTTTTCTAATAGGTCCACAAAGAAATGGGTCCAAATTATGTACCTGTAATTTCATGCATAAAATGGGTCCACTTTTCTCATATGTAGCTTAAAATGGGTAAATTTAAGAAAATGGGTCCAGATTTTTAACATTTTTGCGTAAAATGGGTCTGCATTGTCTGAACTTGCACGTAAAGTGGATCCACTCTCATATTGTCCCATACTGTTTGAAAATCCTGGCTATGGCATTGGATGGAAGGACTTGTTGTGGAGCACAACATTATTCAGAATAAATAAATGAGAGCACTCCCCCCCCCCCCCCCCCACACCTACTGGATCCACCCCAGTATTGAATTGGTATAAAAATGTCATTTGAGTCTACTTAGGACTGAATTGTTTTAATTAGCTAGTTTTTGGTGTCTTCTATTGGACCTTAATGTGAAAGCTGTCAGAAAGAAGAAATCATGATGTCTATGTATTTAAGTTGTCCAAACACTGACAGACTGACTAGTTGCCAACTCAGAATCTTAAGACTTGAAAATTGTAATAAGTAGCATCCTTTAATAATGAGGATTTGTTCTGCTCAGGTGTTTTTTTGAGTGTGAAACTTCAGGAGGGTCCTTTTGACTGGGACTTATAGGCATTCTGTAGACAAGCAAAAATGAATATGTAAACAACCAACTCTACAAAGCACTGAAAACTATTTTAATATAAATATCAGACAGGAATGCTGAATTTGAAAGTAGACAATTAAATTATTTATTTTTATTCACAACATTTTGACAGTGTGATACTAAATGTCTATCCCATTGTACTGTGTATAAACTCATAAATGATCTTTATTCCTTTATCTTGCAATCATGTGGTATTTAGCATGGATGTTATTGGCCACAATCACACACAAATGTGATATTAATTTGAAATTATTAACATAATAACAAGTTCATTGAGGGTACTTTATAACTGTCAATACTACAGTACTAAAATGCTGTGGAAGACTAAAAACTTATATAAAAAGTATAAACCTACTGTACTTGTATTTCTTGAATATTGATATTTTTAACAGCATAATTTAAATGTATGTACCCAGAATGAAGGTTTTCTAATGAAATAAGCACACTCTTAAGTATGGCACTTATCTGAATTTGAATTTTTAAAACTCTTTCATAAACCTTTCTTCCACCCATGTGCAAACTATTTACACATTTCAAATTACTTTGAAAGATAAACAAGAATATGACTAAGGTTGACTCTTGATTGGTTTGGGTAAAATTAGCAATTTATCTTTTTTTAAGTAAATAAACTATCAAAATATATGTTATTCATATTCTAAACTGCCTATGGTTAACTCTACAATGAATAACTATAATTTTATTAATATGTTCAATATCTTTAAAAATTGGCGTTACCTTGTCACAAATAAATTTAGTTTGCAAACAATTGTTGATAATCTTTAAGCGTATTTCCTGTTGTCTTTAGAATACTTAAGCTTTTGCATGTGACGATCAGGGTGCATTGCACCATCTATGTTTCTGCATAGATTTCTTGTTACTATTAACTGTCTTAATTCTTTTTATTATCATATTCTATGCAAAAGTCTTTGTCGAAGAAACTTAAACGTACGCTGGTACCATGGGATATGGACAGGGGACTCTGGAAAACTTAGTTGGCCATCACCATCTTTACAAACTCTAAAGAACAAAAGAAGAGAAACAACTCCATTAAACATATAACAAACCTCATACATTCTAGTTTATTGCAATGCAAACATGGTAAACATGAAATATTGAAGTCACAGTACAAACATAAAACATGAAAACATGTCAAATTTGATAATAATTGTCCACACATGCTCAGAGAAAATGGACAGTCAAGAAAGTTTGTTTTTTCCACACTTGTCATTAATAGTTGGGCGTACATCCTGAGCAAGTTGTTAATGTGATTATTATCTTTGTTTTTTGGTATTTCAGCATATCTATATTTCTTTTTAGTTTGAATTTTTGTATGAAGTTCTTATTTAGTTGTTAAATGATGTGTAAAAGATAGAGAGCAACTTAGTTCAGTCAGCTAAACTGGTGGTAGCCACTGTGTGTGTGGGCTGAACCGTAAAGATCTCTTGGTCCTTGGTTCAATTCCCATCATTGCTCTCCTTGTATCTCAGCTATGGGGCTGAAATGCAAGTTACGATAGCGCACCGTCTGAGACGTTTAAGCTGTTAGTCCTGTGTGCATTATGGCTCATTCACACGTAAAAAAATGAAGTACACTCTTCGGAAAAGAGTTGGAGATTGTCTCCTAGTGTACTGCCATCAGAAGGACCCCACTGGGAATAATTCTTCTTTAGACTTTTGTGGAGGAAGTTTGGAGCAGCGGGAACGGTTTGGTTTCCCAACCTCGAGGTTGGGGTTTCAATCCCTCGCTGTACACTTTGGTTATGTCCTTCAGCAAGGCACTTTATCTTCACTGCCTGCTTCTGCGCTGATTACCAGCAGCAACACTGAAAGCATGTGGACACAATGACCCAGGAAAAGAACTGCGCTTTATAACCTCAAGGAAGAGGCACATTATCTAATGCAATCCATTGCAGCCTCATGGAAGAACACCTTCTTGGTGAACAAGCTTCTGTTGTAAAAGAAAGATTTTATTATTACGATACTTGATACCAACCTTCATATTGGACCTGTCCTTGGGAATCTTCAATTGTGTTAATAAGTTCATTGACCTCATCATCAGTCAGCTTCTCACCTATAGAGGGGGTAGTAACATGCCATCATTTATTATAATAATAATATTTATTTGGATTTACACTTTAATTTAAATAATATTTTATGGTCTATGCTTAAGTGTCGGAGTGGCACGCCTTGTGGACATGGGGTCTACGGTGTACAAAAACATGTAAATTTGTTTCATACTTATTTTGTTATCTTCCTTTATTAAAATTCATCACAATAAAGTGTTTTAAGTTAAATTTTAAGTTAAAAGATGACATTACTAATATTACAGTTAAATGCTAATTCTTTTTAATATTTATTGATACTGTTCCGAATGTTTTGTCAATTTTTTTAATGAAATCATACCAAGACTCGTCAAGACATGTCTCAGCTCAGCTGCTGAGATGAAGCCGTTGCCTTCACGATCAAAGACGCGAAGGCCTTCACTGAATTCCTCATGTGACCCAGCATCGATCTTCTTACGCATGCTATGGTAGATGGGAAGAAACTGCTCGAAGCTTACTCTCTCTGAAAATCAAACAACCTTTTGTTAAATTCTCCTACTCAGAAAAATGTGGGTATGATGCGTCTCACATACACAAAGAGCCAAGAGAAACAGATAGTCTTGGACTTGCACCGTGTGTGGACCCTAACCTTACGGTTTTCCATTTTATTATCACTACATGCTTTTGTTCTAACTCTGTTTCATTTTGTTTCATTATTCTACATTTATCATTTCAAAATAACATGTCTTGGTGAAAAGGGAGGCTTCTATGCCTCCTCTGGGTTTATAGCCTCTCTACCAAACACTGATTGGTTCATGTACTGTATCATAGATATATATATTTTTTAATATCTATTTGTATACTTCTTTACATAACGAGAGTTTGAATACGTGTAGATATATATTTTAATTATGTAAAAAAAAATTATATTGACATTACCTCTTTGAAAACAAATTGTGCAAAATATGATGGTTGAAATAAAGGTGGGATGCACCCACGAAAGACAAAAAAAAAAGAATGAATGAATATTAATTAGTGAAAGCAAATTGTTACCAATTAAGGTAACGTAACGATCGTTCTAGATAATCATATGCAAGGTGTATAGAACACCTTGCATACATTAGTACTGTATGCTAATTGAAAAGTTGTAAGCTTAAATGTTTGAGTTGAACGTTGAGATTTGGACTGTTCCATTTGATGTGTAGTGATTCTTTTATTCGTAATCTAATTTCACTGTTGTCCTGGTCAATGACGTTGAAGCAAGTGGTATTAGCTAATGTTTTGCATTTTTCAAATCTCAACGTTCAACTCAAACATTTAAGCTTACAGCTTTTTCTACCCCTGTCTCTTATACACATCTAGATGTGTATAAGAGACAGGATTTAGGCCTTCTACAGGCTTCAGAGAATAAACATTTGTTTAAAACCACCAGTTTTGACATAGGCCTACTATATTTATTTTACTTGATTATTTTTCGAGAAAAACAGAACGAACCATAATTTCATTGCGAGAAGAACAAATGTCTATTTATTTATATAAGTTCGGCATGTTCATATACAAATAACATATAAAAATGAAGTAAATAAAGAAAGACATTTTCTTCAATCATCACCGTTTATGTAGCCACTGTTCAGCTGCTGAGATGAAGCCGTTGCCTTCACGGTCAAAGACGCGAAGGCCTTCACTGAATTCCTCATGTGATCCAGCATCGATCTTCTTACGCATGCTATGGTAGATGGGAAGAAACTGCTCGAAGCTTACTCTCTCTGAAAATCAAACAACCTTTTGTTAAATTCTCCTACTCAAAAAATGCAAGACCACACTCAGGCAAAAATAACCAATGTTGCAGGTAGTACACAGTTACAGTGGCACATCTTAAGCTGGGAATGGGGAACAATTTCCAGCTAGTTCCCCCTCACTTAATCCTCGGGCCCCACAGACAACCCCATATCAATAATACTAGATATATCATTGCACAGATGTTATATTGATGCTAGTGTGAATGTAGACTCAATGAGAAGCTGTTATCTTTTTTGAGTATAAATAGATGAGAAAACATTGATGGGACTATTGGGGTGGGGGCTACTGATGACTCTATACAACTCTATTTTTAAGAAAAATCTTACCATCGGGAATGTCTAGAATACTCTTTTTGACCTCTGACACTGTTGGGTTGAGTCCAAGTGCACGGGCAACTTCCCCAATCTGAGCACGCTCTATCCTATTATCGCCTTTCTTGTCAAAAAGGGAGAAGGTATCCCTGAATTCTGGTGGTGAAATAAGATAAGATTTAATGATTTATAAAATCTGAAATTATTAAACACCTGAGCAAAATAAATCCTCATTATTAAAGGATGCTACTGTGTTTTACCACCATTGCACACAATTTTCAAGTCTTAAGATTCTGAGTTGGCAACTAGTCAGTCAGATACAGTGTTATGGACAACTTAAATACATAGACATCATGATGGGTCTACAGTATTAATATTTATTTAATTACGCCATATTTTATGAAGGTGAATATTGAATAATGTAATACGGTAATTTTGAGATAGTTTTTCAGGTAATTTTCAGACATCATGGAAACTTTCAAGTACAAAATAGAAATTCCATTTACATATTGAATTACTAACAATGCTGTATTGTTCCTAGGATCAGAAATCAGGCGCCATGCCAACATACTAATCCTTTCATTGATAAATTGACTACGAATTGGATTGTGTTATGTGTGAACATCAACGATAACCCAACCCACAAAATTCTGAAAACTTATTTCCAGTGGTGTCTTTCTGTTGGTGATTGGGTAGTACACAGGGAGAAAGCCCCCACGGTTTAAATTGCCGACAATTGTACAGAAAACAACTATAAAGTAAAGACAAATTTTTGGACTCTGAGAATCATAGAAAAGTTTCAAATTTTAAAAAGGTTGCAATAATCCAATTGCATCATCATTTGGCCAAGTGTAAAAAAAAGTAGTTTTTTGTCCTAATATTTTTAAAAAAGGAGAATGAGGGCATTTTTCTTTTCTTTTTTTTCAACACCGAGATGGTAAATTCAAGATGGTTGATGGGAAACAGCTACTACTGCTTTCTCACTTTTACCAAGTAGACACATTGAACACAAAAAAAAGAAGCACTAGACATGATTCATATCATCCACGAATGATTGACAGAGGAATTTTAGTGATGTGAGTTAGCCAGATTTCCGTACATTTAATAAAATAAAGGAAATTAAAAAAATAAAATTAAAAATTGGTGGAGGGAAAATGAATACGTGTCAGGACAAGAAACTAGTAATTATTTTTTATTTGGCCTAAAAAATTACACTATAAATATACAATGTACTGTATTGTAAATTACACTATAAATATACAATGTACTGTATTGTAATCGTTAATTCCTTGGCTTAGCACCTATCCAAACCTGTGGGTGGTAAACAGGGTAATTTAAAGTGGAATATTCAACACTCAAGGAAGCGTTACTTGAAAATGGAGACCTCTTTTGTGCAATAACAGAGGTTAATTTGTCCATGGCCATGCATAATAATAATTCAAAAACATCTTTCAAAAAATGTTGAAGGCCAAGTGGACTGTTCCAATGTTAAGTGCACTTACAGAATATTGTTTTAAATAGGGTTCATGCTAAGATTCTATGATTCTCATAAACTTGCAAGGGACATTGAGCCTCCTTCATCAGATGAGATCAGGTTTGATGCCTCTGAAGGCTCATGTGTAAATAAACTGATTTAAACTAACATTCTTCCCAAATTGTTCAACTTTTCTAAATTGAAAATTACTTATTTACTGTAAATTCTACAGTATACAGCAGAAACCTACAAAATGAGCATAATTTCAATAACATTTATTCATAGGTTCTACTGTAGGCTCGTTAAAATTTACCACTAATTCTTTGTTTTAAATGTTACGTCAAGGTGCTCTAAAAATTCTAATACTGAACAATTATTTGTTTTCAGTGTAATAAAATTTTACAGAAATCACAATTGAATAGAAATACAACCGACCTTCATGAATAATGAGTGATGACACATGACTAAGTGCTTAAGTAAAAGCGCATTATGATTCTTCTCACAGTACTGTATTGTACTGTGCTAGTCATAGTTTAGAATTTAGTTATCAGAGAGGGAGTTGGAATACCGATGATTCATCACCATTATTAAAGGGGCAGTCCTGTGCAATCATACATGGTTCAACATCAGTGCAGTATGTAATGGGATAGTGCTACTGTACACAGACCCCTCCGTTGGACATGTTGTACCCCTCAAAAATCAGCACAATTACAGGGGATTCAACATCAGCTATACTTAAGCACCCCTCATTTGGACATGTTGTACCCCACAAAATTCAGCACAATTACAGGGGATTCAACATCAGCTATACTTAAGCACCCCTCCGCTGGACATGTTGTACCCCTCAAAAATCAGCGCAATTACAGGGGATTCAACATCAGCTATACTTAAGCACCCCTCATTTGGACATGTTGTACCCCACAAAATTCAGCACAATTACAGGGGATTCAACATCAGCTATACTTAAGCACCCTTCCATTGGACATGTTGTACCCCTCAAAATTCAGCACAATTACAGGGGATTCAACATCAGCTATACTTAAGCAGTCCTGCTGTACAGCATAGAGTAGATCAGATTCAGCATCGGTATAAAGATACTAACCTAACAGGAACCGTCCGAGTAATCATTTAACAATCCGTTTTAACTTAATATAATGTATCTGATTATAATTTGTACAGTCAGTATGTAGGCCAGTATGCAAGTTCATTGAAAAAGTCGAAGATATAAATGGGGCTCTTTATTTCACTTTCAGCCAATCATAGAGATGAAAATATCAGGATGTTCACACTCTCAGCCTGATTAGTGAATGATCATGAACATGCGAGAATGCTACTTTAAGGTACCAGTACATCAGATGACTCATATAACTTGATGGCTAGCGACTGATCAACTTGCTATATACTGCTGACACAAGTTTATTTACTTCCCCTAATAATTTTTAAAATACAGCAATACAAAAATATATGGAATTTCATTTTAGGCTCCACATTATATTAAATGAATTTGGATTACCTTGACAGAACATTAATATTTATACTGTATTTATCATTTCTTATTCAATGTATGTATATACTGTTATAATAGTTTTTTTTTATAGATAATAACTGCACAGTGCACATTAATAATAAAATAAAATTCATTTCTTCTTAACCATAGAATTAAATTCATAAACTGAATTTGTATTGGAAAATGTTAAAATTGTTGATTGTGCCTTATACTGTAGTGTAACAGGAGGTACAGTTACATACACAACATTCGTTATCATTTTTGATAGTATATCTTGGATTTTAAATATCCGTTGGGTGCTAGGTTAGAGTTTTAAAAGAGGGCGTGGCCACAATTTAGGATTCAAATTACTTGTTTAAACCTTGTTACCATCATATTTGCAACCGATGAAAAACACATTGAACATGAAATTGATGCTATGTGGCTTTAGTATTGAGAAGTTCTCACACTATAATTTAGTATGTGAAGTACAGTACATTACTGTAAAACAAATCAATTAACATTCCTCAGGCTGCATGGATGTGGGTCCAGTACTCCAGCTATATAAAGTGGTCTTCCATTTACCAATTAATTTTTTTTCTCAGTAGTCGTATATGAACTGAGAATTACAGTATGTCAATAATTAGTTGACAATGAAGACACTGTTCTGTTTGTCTATTCATGCAGATGAGTTAGGTGACAGGGTGAGCATGAACAAGGGCTAATTTGTTCCAACAATTGCTTCATGTTGATAGCAATGAGCACATATGATGATAGAATATTGCAAGCTAGTAAGCTTTCTCCATGACTTTGAAAGAAGACATTATTCTATGCACAGACCCTGTTCTAAATTCACTATGTATTTTAAAAATAAATCTGAAAATGTACTTGTACATGGAAACATATAGTTAATTGTTAATACGCTACCAGCGCTATACAAATTTCCATTATTATTATTATTATTATTATTATTATTTATTATTATTTATTTTATTATTATTATTATTATTATTATTATTATTTAAACCAACCAAGGATGTATAAAATACCTTCTTATTTTATTCAACAAAAAATATTAGTGGTCTTGTCAAAAGTACAAATTCACCAAAAATGAAAAATTATTTTAATAACAATTAATTTATAAACTAATAATAAAGATAATTTAAAAGAGAACACATTAAATTTTCTCTGATTTGCCACTTATATTTATGTTTGATTAATGTAAAGGAAATGATATTAAGAAAAATCTTCAGAATTTAATTAAATTAAAATCAAAGTATAGATGTAGACATCCAACGAAATCCAATTCAATACTGACATTGCTCAAGCATTATGCAAATGTGTGAGGGTCAATTAATTTTAAAGTACCAATATTCTGTTTTGTAGGGCAATTCAACACAAAGTTTACATCAACAGTCGAACACCTGTTATTCTTGAATGCTACCAGGAATGAAGATGCATAGGGTACAATCAAAGCCCCACCCATTTTAAGCACTTACTAAATGAAAAGAGTCAAGAGCATATCCTAACATGTCTGAAAAAACTGCATCTAATAGAACAGAATTGTTTTTGAATTTGTAGCTAGGTTAGCATTAAAGTCACATACTAATTATATAGTAATTAAATGTTACAGCAAGGCCCTCCAGTCCACCAGGCTATCAACAGCTATTGTATACTTTCTACTTTTGTACACATCACTTTTCTTTGCTACAACTGGAAACCTGAATACCTTTCAACTATAAAACTATAATAAAACTAAGTAAATATTCCTTCAATCAAACAAAACATGACCATCACTACCTACCATCAAGGTTTTCCTTATCATCCATAATTCTTAGCAGAAATTCAATACAGTGTTATTGAGCAGTAAATCCAGACAAGCACTCCCTGTCTTCTATGAAACCTGACTCCTACTTTAGTTATTATACTGCTGTCACACTCAATAAATATATGACCTTGCATTCATTTCCACCTGACCTAAGTCCTCAAAGCAGACTAACCAATCACAAATCACTTCCGGATCAAGGATCTTCCTTATAAGGATGGATACCATGATGTCATTGACTAACTGCATAGAGTATAAATTTCTGGTAACCACAGTAACCACAGACACCCATTCTAACTGCATATTTGTCATTTTTTTAATCTAAGAGTTCACAAGTCGATGAGACAAGTTTTCAATCTGATGAATTCTAAAACATTATATGAAATTAACTTCTTGTATGTATAGTTATACTATTATTAATAAGTTTCTCTGTCCTCTGTAAAGTCAATGTTCAATTTAAAATAGCAAATTTAACCGGTACATTCTTGTCCAGGCTGCCCAATTTCCATTTTAGGTATAACACCATATTTTTTTTTTCATCCAGCATTTGAATCCTGTGTAGCACTAGTATAGTTTAACAAATATGGCAGTGTAGTGTTGATAATATGGCAGTGTAGTGTTGATAATATGGCAGTGTAGTGTTGATAATATGGCAGTGTAGTGTTGATAATATGACAGTGTAGTGTTGATAATATGGCAGTGTAATGTTGATAATATGGCAGTGTAGTGTGGATAATATGGCAGTGTAGTGTTGATACTGGTAGCAAAAGATTAAAGGAAGTTCTTTAACTTTTTTCAATGTAATTTCCTTTTGGACAAATACATTTGAATTGAATTAAATACAAAGAATGTGTTGTATAATAATAATTATAATTGCAGTAATAATAATAGTACAGTATGATGAATTTTTGTGTGCTATTCAATTTAATAATATATTTCATATTTACTGAAGTATAACATATTTTTATATAACTATAAATACTGTTATTTAATAAATTGTTTACTTAAATTTACTATAGGCGAAAAAATACAATTTTGATTGTATTGTTTTGTGTGGTTGGTGTTGCTTTAAGGTATGGTTGGCATTTTATGTAAACTCAAGACATTTTAACTTTTGCTGCATTTTGAGTTATTACCTAATAAATAAATATTCAGCATTCTGCATACAGGCCTTGGCCTCCTTGGTTCACAGCACTTGTTATACAGTAGTTAAGAAACAAGTGAATAAAGTGAAGATTAATTCATCTAAAAGTCTGTTTTTGGATGTTAAGTTAGACTGTAAGTCTGTACACGGAAGTCATCAACTTTTCCCTCTGTACTCCATTATTATTGGGTGAATACAAAGAAAGACACATCTATTTTAACATTACCAAAATCCACATAGCTAAACAAAAGGAATAGCTCTGCAGTATTTGCAGCTGGGCCATAAATCTTTAATTATGCATTTTACCAGTCCGAGATTACAGGCAAATGTGTTGGAATTATGTTCATTCGCATTTTACAAAACACTCTCCTATCCCTAGCTAGTTCTACATTTTAAGGCCTAAACTAAACTTACAGCCTTAGGCTAGGTGGCCCAAAAAAACAAGGCAGTGTTCATCCTTCATTATTATGCCTGCCTAGGCTAGGGTCATTCCTCCTATTTTAGTATTTATTAAATATTATTTAGCCTAGGCCCAAGCTAACTAAGCTTAGGCAAACTCAGCTGTTCAGTTTAGTTCGTTTTCAATATTTCATTGGGCCTCCATTTACAAGATTTCTCAGTCTTCGAAATAGTACCACAGTGCTGGGATATTTATTGTATCTCTACTACTACTAGCCTAGAATAGGAGGCTAGGCTACTGCTGTACAGAGGAAGGTGGGTAGGCTAGGTGGCCTAGGCCTAGCCTACCAAATTTGACCCATCACGACACCTGTTTGTTCGTCGTATAACTTTGAACACAAAAAAAACAACGTACCTGTTATTTGGTCTTCTGTTAAGCCCTGTGAACAACAAAAACATAAGTGATCATTAGAAAGTCGTAGACATCGACTGATTACAGTAAAAATTAATTGTAAATTTTACTTACTCCTCTTCCTGCCATACTTGGTCCTTGGTACAAAATAGGTGAATAAACTCAACACAAGACGACGGGCGTTTCCAAAAGGAAATACGCCCTCTATTGTCAACGCTATTGATGCTGCCAAAGAGATAAAAAGAGATGAGAGGTCTAACTCTGTTCACACATGGAGGAATTAGTACATTGTCCACACAATGAACTTTTATGATGTGCCCATATTTGGGCATCATGATCTCATATTACACACATATATGGGCATATCACCGTTGTTTGTGACAAAAAAAAGTTGGTAGTGCCGACAATGAAATAAATAAATAAATCCGGGCTTTCGACACGTATCCAGTATGAGTATCCCACTGGTATAAAATTGTCCGCCAATATAAAGGACGGATCACTAAGGAATTACTTTAAAATAATTCCTCCTTGGATAAATGAACATTTAGTTTTTTACATTCTGATTTTTCATTGTAAATTAATAAATTACTAAATTTATAAGTTAAGCAAATTCAACTAGGCCTATGGAATTGAATTTTTCATTTTTTTTTCCTTTTTTTCTTTTTTCTTTTAGTTCATCAAAGACTATCTTTCAAACTTTTTAATAATGGTGACCCTGGTCTCTGGGCGTTGCTACCTTTGCAACAAACCTAGAAGTACAGGAGAGTGTAGGGTAGGACCTTCGACCCAGTAGACTAATGACATGCAATCAAGGCGTGTGAAATCAGGAAACAGTGAAGTAATTTCACTGTTCCCTAGTGAAATGTAGTACATTTCGGTAGTAGAATGGTCCTCAAAACTTGAGACACAATAAAGATTGCAAATTCATTATTTTATACTAACGCAATCTGAAATTTGTAGCAATCGCCAATAGAGTTTCATTTGAAGACTTAAATATAGAACGTGTGCCTTATCCTGACTCAAAGATATCTTTACTCTGATGCCAATAAACTTCAGCAATACAATATAGTCACTGAATCAGGGGTGGATCCAGAAACAATTTCTGACGGTGGGTGGGGGAAGGTTATAGGTAGTCCATACCTACCTCAGCCACAAAATGGTTGGGACTGAGGCTAGCAAATTTTAATAATACACCCTTCTAGCCCCTCAGAAATGGCACTCTAAGATGGTGAAAATGCTTTGCATTGTTCCTCGACAAAATTATATACTTCTTCCCGACGGGAGTTATGCTCCCGCTGCCTCGGCACCCCTCCCCTCACGGGGGTTGGTCTAACCAAGGACCTATAGTCTATGACTCTATTCAATACAGGGACCCAAAGTACCGGTACCTCTACATTCCAGGAAATGGCACTCATTCAGACTTAAAACTTGAAAATTTTATCTCCATTTTTTTAAAACGACAAAATGTACTGGACGGCTGTGCATCCCACCCCTGCTGGATTAATACGATATATGACTTACAGTCGATTTCAGAAACACATTATGCTGTTACTATGTATCAACACTGCCCTTTTGGATCAAGTGCATTAGAGCGAGGACCATGGGTGGGGCAGAAGGGGCCGCGACAAGAGAGCGCACAGGGCGTTACGCACTGAGCATGGATGCTGGGTACTACACAAAAACAAAAATAAAAAAGACAAAAAAAGCGTCTTTTGGCCTTTTTGATGTATTCAATTATAACTTTAAAAAATGAATTATATAAATAATTGTGTTAAATAATAATTTTTTACTGTTATTGTTATTATTTTTATATAATTATATATAATGTTTATGAAGGATAATGAATAATGATTATTATTGTTTTATTATTATCATTATTATTTTCAATTTTGACTTTACACTAATATAATTGCTGTGTTCTCATGTTCCTTGTACCATAACTTCTTGGTTTTTACAGGGGATTAAGTTATTTTGACCTCCTTTTACACTTCCATTAACTGTTATTTCTGACTTGGATTTATATCGAGTATTCAACCTTGTATTCTTATTCCATTGTTATTATCTTAATCTTGTAATGTTAATTTGAAGTGCGAAAGAACCAATAAACAACGACAAAACAAACAACAAATTATTTACACTTGGAGCCTTGTCCATTCGCCCACTAACTCATGGTTACACTTTTTCACCTCTTTCCTCTCTTTAACTCTTCTCAATTAGTTCTCCCTCTTTTTATATTTTTCAGCGGGAATGACGGTTAGGTACTTGGCTGTAAATCAACGAAATCTTTAATTCTTTCGATCTGTGTCTCCAAAGTTGAATGACTGCAGGGCCCTTTGGTGTGTTATGGGAATTCCCTAATTGTCTCAGAAAATTCATCGTAAGAAGTGTTTTTTTTACCCCCTACCCCTAATGGTCTAGGCTATAGTAATAAATACTAATGATAATCGGATTCGTAACTATTCTAAACTATCAAGAAAATTGGTGGCACATCAAATTTAACAATTGCAGAGGTGGGTCAGGGAATTCTAAATAGAAAAGCCAGGGATTGATTTTTACAGGTGGTGGAGGAGAAGACCACCTCAGACTAGACCCATCATAGTTAGATAGTAAGACATTTTATGGTTATATAGCACCTCAGATGACCGGAAATCGCACTCTCAGGCTCAAATTTTAATACAATTTCTTTTTTCCCATTTCTTTTCTAATTCTAAAAGAAATTCGGGGGAGGGGGCGGTGGGTACACAATTGAGTACACCACTGATTTGAAATCAACACAGTAATCAATAATTGCTCTCTTCTAAAATCCGAATATTATTGAGGGGCCCACTGGCGTTATATATTCAAAAACATTAAGTTGGAAATTATTTTTAAATTATATGGTCTATTTATGAATGGGCCCCTAATAGCCCGGTGGGCCCCCGTGCTTTGCACTGGCTGTACTGCCCGTAGCTACGTCACTGCTTCTCTTCATTTCTTGTTCATCCTCGTAATTACACTCTTCTCCTCCTCGAGATCTCCATTATCCTCATCACATCCTTCAAACAATCTCTGGCGCTTTTTATGGAACTATTTACAAGAAATGGTAGTGGGTTCTTTCGTTGTTCATTGCTCAAAAGGTACAGTACTGTATTTGGTATGAAGTTTATTTACTCAATCATTTTTAACTCCAATAAGTATGGTGCATGATACGGTCATTAAGCACAAATCCCTTTAATTCCCGCAATTCCCTGGTCGGTTGTGTCGATGGGACACGTGCGTATAATAGTGTTCGTTTATTATAAGTATTCAACGTGATTAGGCCTATATCTGATCATAAATATCACATTTGGTATTCTCATCGTTCTCTTCATTATGCCCATAATTTTCTTCCAATTACCTTATACTCCTCCACCAAATCATTGATCTTCGTCTTCGGCATGCACGAGGAAGCATCTTCATGTCACTCCATTTTACTACTGCACTCTCTCAATCTGATCAGTCATTAATAACTGACAATGAACGCCTAAGTAATAATATAGTTATACGGTTATAATTTCAAAGTCCAAGTTGGGCTTCACATTTACTCGGGTAATAGAATCAAACACCTAAACGGGTCCCTGGCGAGTGTTGCAGCTCAAGAAGGCATTCGAGAGACAGCGTGAATAAGATATAAACCTTGTCAAAAAGTAGCTTTTGGCCGAGGCCCCATTCTTTCTTTGGAAGCTCAATGTTTAACCGCACCCGATGCGTCACATTCTACAACCGCATTAAAATAATAATACAGTAATGACATGCATGTGGAGGAATAGGCCCCTAATAAACGTATTCTCCACGCATGAATAGCCCTGGTAGGTCTACGTCGCATATTGAACAATTACATAATGTGTCGGGACCGAACGGCGAGCCGTTAGGGTCTATTATTTATATTGTTTATGAGGAAACGGATATAAATAAAATCATGAATGAATGTTGGTTTACGTGCAAGTCTGCACGTCCACCACCATTTCATAGCTTAATTATTTAAGTAGTTGATATATACCTGTGATATATTAACATACGAATCAGTATTGATTGATAACTCCATTGTATTTTCGAACAAAGTCTAAAAAAATCAAGATTACCAACCTATTTTCTTATTCAACGATTCATGCAGACAGGTAAGTGGATGTAATGTTTAATTCCAATGTTTGATTAATGTTTAATGTTTAATTCAATGACTACAGGTTGGTAAGTACATTGATATTTAATTGCAATGTATGATTGATGTTTAATGTATAATTGCAATGTTAATTCGTCAAATTTTTTATTGTAAGAATGATGGGCCTATTACTATTTGGCCTGTTTGAACGTAGTGATCATGCAGGCGTAAGTATTGTAAGTCTTGCCCGGGTATAGTGATCAATTATCCTACTTAAAGACAGTACACAATGATTAATGATAGCAAGCGATATGTTTAATTAACATATGAACAAATTAGTAATGATGTGTTGATGCGGTTTTAAGTATGATATTACGATCGGAGACATCCAGAAAAGATGCTGCATTTCCTGTAATTACGTCTTCATTTTACATTCTGACATTCTATTGCTATTATTATATTTATGAGAACTTGGTTAATAGCACTATCATTTATAACTGGTAATTGTGATTAGTCTGTCTTAATCCATGTCTCCATTATCATATTTGCTACCCCTTCAAATATTTTCTTTCGATTAATATGTTTGTCTGATTTTGGTTCTCTTTTTTTTCCCTTTCTTTTTTGTTAAAATATCCAATCGGAAAGGCACACTTGCGCATTACATTATTAAAACTAATCGCAGTGAACGTTTGTAGCCTATCATTGATAAGTCGTGACATACTTAGATGACACTTGTAATATTTCTCCATGGTTATTTTCTATTGTGGATATCGTGTTGATAGCATAGATTCAAATTCTAATCTACTTCATGACCTAGTATAATTATACCACAGACTCTGTGATCCTTGTCTGTCAATTCTCTTACACATCTTGTGAGTGAGTTCCATACAAGGGGCTGTGTAGACGGTAGGTAAGTCAGTATTCCATTTCGTGCTGTTATTGTAGACCAACTTTAGACATAATGGTTAATTTTGACAAGCGCTGTGTTTAACCATAGAGAAAATACAACAGATGGTTTCATAGATACAAATATTTAATTATGCTTTGATGCGGTTTTAATTACGGAGAATTACGTTTTCACAATCGGGGATACGCCCAGTCATGTGGCGTATAGGAGTCAAGGATGGTGGTTTGATGGGGGCGCAAAGGTGAAATGGGGGGGGGGAGGGTGTGCTTGATGATTAGGAGATATAGCGCAATAGCTCACAAAAATAACCACCCCACCCCCATGCGCACCTACATCCGCCACGGCAGCCGCCGAAGTAACGAGCAAGGGGCGCGTGCAGTTACTTGTTATGGTACCTGCTAAATTTTATATGTTACGTCATTTTGCTATTACATTTTTAAGAGCTTGACACAAATATTATATTTTCATAAGGTAGGCCTATGCTTTCGATGTAAGGTTAGAATGTTACATTATAAAATGCTATATTTGCTTTGGGGCATTGCCTGGATAGCCGAATGATCATTAATAGCATCTTTGTGTTATCAATTGAGTAATTGAGTAATTATTTGTAATTAGTCTATCTTGCATACAGATTATAATAAATACATTATTTTACTAAGTTATGAATGTTTTGTTTTGATTATTATGTTTATCTCATGAATGTTTTGTTTCGGTTATCCAATCGAAAGAAGGATCCACCTATGAATTGACCCAATCACAATGCCTAGTGTTTGTAGACTGTCGTTGAATAAGTCGCGTGACATCTAGATATTGCACTAAATGAATAGGTCTCTGATATTTCTTGTAGGAATCTATTGTTGTTGGGGGCCTAGTGTTTTGATATCGTAGTTCCAAACATTTTTCGAAAATGGCACGAGGAATCGGCGGACGCGGAATCTTTGTTAGGCTAAGCATGGCAAATTACGAGGTAAGACGCCATTTTGTTTTTTAAAAATTTAATGTCCATGACGTATCGTCTTCGTGTAAAAGACAAATAATTGAAGGCATTTGGAATGATTAAAAAAGCTGCGATGGATTTGAAATAAATGAGCCCAAAATGTGATAAAAACATGAATTGTGCTACAGGGCAGTACTTGTACCATATTGTACTTAAAAACAATAAAACTATTATTATTATTATTATTATTATTATTAATATTATTATTATTATTATTATTATTATTATTATTATTATGACAATGATGATGTTGATGATGATGAGATGATGATGATGAAAAGGAATGACGACCACAAAGATAATAATGGATGGTGTTGATGATAATGATTAGGGACATATATAAATAAATACTAATAATGTGTATAGGTATATATTTTATTATAATTATGATCAACAATGTTTTTTTTCACTTTTTCTTGTTAACAATTTTGATCATCATGTTTCATTTGTTATTCTATGGATATAAAATTGTGAAATAAAAGATGAAATGAAATGAAAATTATTACAATTTACTAATGATAAGCAATCTATAATAGATAGAATTAAAAGTACATTGATGTAAACATAAAATGTTATTTTATTTATAAATCATATGATCTAAATTGTATTATTACTCATTTGAATATTATTATGCTCTACTTAGCACATGCATAGAAATTGCTGAAACTCTTAATACAATGTAACCTTACATAAACGAAATTATACACAAAAGTCTTCATAATAACAATACAGTCATAGGCGCAATCCTGTAGAGAACATTATTACAAATCTGAATGTAATTTGCATACCGGTATTTCACTGATTCAACACATGTAGCGATTGTAGCAGGTCATTGACAACATCGTACAGGCGCTGCCCTATGCATGAGGTGAATACATTGTAGGCCCTGAAGATAGACTGCAACTCCCATATCTCCGAAAATATAGCACCTAGAATTGTACTAAAATAAATATGAGATACAACTTCCGCTTCCCCTTCAATGTGGTGACGTGCTCAGTACCTATGTGTACAAAAATTACATTACTATATCTTTACTTGCTTATGCAGACCTAGACATATTCCACCCAAATGGAAAATTTCGGCGCAATTAAAAATGAGAATTTTAAATTTCCACATGGATATCCCTGTGACGTTGTAACTCAGAATTTACCCTCAAAATATCATAATACGTTTTTTATGTTACAGTTTGAAAAAAAAAAAATAATATAATGTAAGATATTGATATAAGGCACATAAGATAACATTAATGCACAGTCGTTCATCCATTTCATATTATTATATAATCTACGGTTTTAATCAAAATTTTTTTTTTATTTTAATCTTTTATGTTTGTATTTTACAGCTCATGCCATTGGCCGTTATACTTGGATTTGCCTGCACCATGGCGACAGCGTACGTTGGCTACGCTGCAATACAAAAGAAGGATGTGTCGTAAGTATACATTAATTATAGGCCTACCAATACTGTTTGTAATAATCGTGGACTATATGAAAAAATAGTGCACTGTTTGGGATAGGCAAATAACACTCGCAGTTGAAATGATGACGTCACGATTGACTTATAATAATTAATATAAGCATTTTGTTATTACACGTTATCATAATTTATCACCAAAGAAGTAATAGGGCCTAATATTACTACTACTACTAATGATAATAATATTAATAAAATGATTTGAATTCTTATTACTAATATTTGATTTTCTCAATATACCTTTTATTCATATTATTCATTTTATTGTACAATATCATTATTTTCACCGTTAATATGGAATCATTATTGTTATCAACATTCAAAACAATAATAATAACTATAATGTTATATTTATAACATATTGCCCCATGTGCGTTACACAGAAATTGTATAGGGCCAACCTAGAGAATAATAATAATGATCATGGTGATGATAATAATAATAGTAATAATGATAAACATAATAATATTAATAACAATAATAAATGATATAGAGATTATGTTTATTACTATTATCATTACTAGTATTTATTTTACTATTGATATTAGGTTTATTCGATGGAAGAATCCCCATCCATGGATCAAAGTAGACCCTGAAAGTACACAAAAGGTAGGAATTGTTTAGCGCAAGCATTTGCTTTTGATAACGACATGAGACACATAAAGCATGATAAAATTGTATATATGAATTACTCGGGGTTTGGATCTGTAGTTAACAATAATAAATAGACTATTAATAATATGTGTATAGTATACACCTACACATGCTTAAAAATGTTATTCGCTGCTTCACATTAAAATATTATATGGAAAAGCACGTGCTTCAACCAATGTCGAGTGTCTTGGTTTGTGTCAATTAGACCAAATATTTACACTATTTATGATTTTACAGTTGACTCAGTGTCAGTGATGAAATATTAATTCATTTAAAGATGTTTTAAATTGCCTCTGTTATTTAGCGAAAGGTAAATAAAACGAACAATTCAATAATAATAATAATAATAATAACCGTAATAATGATAATAATAATAATGATAATAATAACAATAATAATGATACTAATAATAATTATAATAATAATAATAATAATAATAATAATAATAATAATAATAATAATATTAATAATTATATCGGGATTTATACTACCTCTTTTGCCAAGGAATGCAAGGCGCTGGCGATGTTTTCATTATTACTCTCTGGTCATTGAATCAGTAGTTTGGGAAAACCGCCATAAAGTGCAACTCCTCCACTACCTGAGGTGTTTTCTAGTCGTACTTGCAATTCAATGCATACACAGAATAGTATCAATGCCACATTATCCTACCAGGTACCCATTTGTACTCCTGGGTGGGGTGTAACAAACGTAGGCAAAGTGCTTGCTAATGAGAGACAAGCGAAGTTCACAGCGAACGTTCAAACCTCCGACCTCAAGGTCAAGTCTATGACGTAATTTGTAAGACAAAAATTAATATTTTATTTGTATTTCATTTATTTTTTTGTTTTATTCATTCAAAATCCAACAGCGATGAACACCGCCTTAAACAATGTTATATAAAATAACTTGTTTTAATTAAGTTAAGTTGTAGCTAAGCGGTGCCAAGCTCGATTATCCTCGGCCAGTGACGTCGAGAGCCAGTAAGGGCCCCAGGGCAACACCTCACATTCCCTCCCCCTTCACTTGGGACCCCACTCGGCCGCTCCCCAAATTAAGTCTCCTCCTAAATCTGACAAACAAAAGTTTTCATCCTGGCTTGGGCTCGGGCCCTATGGAGATTTTTTTCTTACCCCGAAAATTTTTGATCTTGGTCCGCCCCCCCCCCCAGTAGACCCAGTAGACCCAGGGCCCGGGGCAGCGACCCCCTGACATCCCCCTCCCTCGACGCCACTGTCTTCGGCTATTTCTTGGTCACCATTTGTACTTTTTTCCAAGGATGCAATAAACAGAGAACAAATCTAAAAGCAAAAAAAAATGTATGATGATAATATACTTGGCCAAGTACCGTACTAGGCCAATGTGTATAACTATGCGTTAATATTTTTATGATTATATTATTAATGTTATTTATTACTCACTTCTCATTAATTTTCCCCTGGATTGTCAAATAAGCTAACCCATTGTAAAAAGGGATACATTCATTTTTAAGAGGTATTATCACACTTTTGAAAGATTCGTAAATAAATTTATTCAGTGATGTATTGCTCATTGTTTTATTTCACGTTTTATTAGACGTTGAAGAGGGCCCCTCAATAGTAATTTTGTCGTTTCAATATAAATTCAGCAACTAGATCTTGTAGGCACAAGATACGTTATATCCAGGTTTTTGTTATGTTGTGTATTCTATGATAGACCAATTTGTATTTTTTGACGAAATAAATAACTGTTCACAACTCATATTAAACCACAGTATAATAACTCATTTTTGGATAGACCTACACTAGGTTAATAGGAGGTATAACTTACCAATGAGAGAATGATTAATAGTCTCATGGCACATAATCCATAAAATTTGATTGTAAGATTCTTGGCATTCTTTAGCTGTAAGATCACATTTAATGTAGGCCTACAACCTTAGTTAACACGTAACATGTGAGCCGATAACAGATAATGTAGGAGGCCTCTAACATGCGTTGTAGATGCTCTGATCGACTGAGTTATGGTCCAGTAGAATTGGAACCATACCCCATTAACGTAACAATGATTTAATATGAAATATGAAGGAAAATCAAAGTGGATTTCTTTGGGATTTGAACCGTCATACGGTTCGGAAGCTCGAACGGATGGGGTCCAGTGGCATTCGAAACACATTCCCATCGAAGGAGCGATGATATAATACTTAATACTAAATAAGCTAAAAAAAAACAAAAAGGACCTCTTTAGGATAAACCCGGGACCACCTAGGCCTATGTTGATGCTCTGACCGATTGATTATGGGGGACACAATCAGAGCCATATCCCCATCGTCGAACATAAATGATAAATCCGAAATACGAGAAATATCAAATTGGACCCCATTATACTAGATCCAGGTTGGGGTCTAGTGGGATTGG